ACTGGACATGCCAAACTCGTGCAGGGCCGCGGACAAATCGTGTATGTCGATTTTGCCATCGCCGTCGCGGTCCAATTGATTGAAGATGCGCTCGAGCCGCTCCTCGTCCTCGGCAGGTATCTCAGTGGGCATGATGGACAGCGGCACGCTCGAGACGGCCACTGCCATGGACACAATGTTCTGTGGCGACACAGTGTTGAGATTGTAGGGCGTTGTGGCAAGATGCGCATGCTGCAGTTGCAGCTTATGCGGCGGCAATTCACTCTCATGACTTGTGCTATTGGCTGACCTCAGTGGCGCGTAGATGGCATTTGCCTGCCGAGCGTAGTTGTAACCGTTGTTCGGCTCCTCCGGCGTCAAGTCGATGTCTATGTCGATGCGTTGCGCTTGCTCGGGTTGATGATGATGATGATGCTGCTGTTGTTGTTGCTTCTGCTGCTGATCCGGCTGCTGCTCAGACTGCTGACTTACTACTAAGGACGCGCTGTTTTCTAAACCGACTTGCTTCTTAACCATTCTCCAGACTCGTCTTAACGTTGTTTCAAGTATTACTTGCTGTTGCGACGCTCTTCTCAAATGCTGTGCGAGTGTTTTATTTATTTATTTTTTGATTTGCGAAGTCCTCCAATGCAAATGCTGATCCTAGGAATGCCCGGCAAACGTTTCAGTTTCGATAATATATTCGAACGGCCGTCTGTTCCTATGGCTGAAACATTTTGATTTCGGGCTCGGTAACGTTTTCTAGCTGAACTGAACTGAACTAAATGTGGGGTGAGCCGTGCTGATGCGGGGCGAGGTGGGGCGTGGCGTGGCGTTGCTTCGCACTTTCTATAATGTCTATAAATAAAGAAATTGAAATTTTTGTTGCTTATTCACATAATATACACAATATACAGCTACGTATGTGTATGAATGTATTTTAAAAGGCATTTATTCTAAAGTAAACAAATATATATAAAACAAAAAAAAAACCCCAACCAAGCATAAATTCATTAAAACTGACGCGATTTCCCTCAAGCCCCAGACAGCGTCGAATCAGCTGCGAAGCCCGCACCAAGTCGTTGCCATGAAAATGAAGTCACTGCCGAGCGAGAAAGAGCGCACTTTCACTAATTTTTTAAACAATTTCACACTGCTTTGCTGCCAGCTGGGCAGCAGCGAATACGTATGAATCATTGATTTTTTCTCTATTATGTTATAAAAGGCTTAAGCTCGCCCGGAAGTGGCTGAAGCCTTGAAAATTGACAACTCCCCACGCACGTTTGCTGCCAGCAGCAGCAGAGGGTGTAGGCAGAGACAGGACGATGCTGGAACTTTCTTTTATTTCTTCTTTTCGTGTGCGTGAGCTCTATTTGCATTTAGTTGTGTATTCAATTGCATTAATTGAATTTAATTTGCCCTTGCTTTGGTGTTGTATTTTAAAAGTCTCAAATTTCACGATCTGCTCTTTTGTACGTTTTTGCCAAATTGGCAAAATTACATTTTTGCGTACGCGTTTTTATCCACACACACACACATAAAAGCCGAGGCACACACATACATACACGCTGAATAAAATACTCAGCGGTCGCAAAGACCAAAAGCGGCTTGCATGTTGTTACCTAGTATCTCGACTTTTTTAAATCGATATAAATATATGTATATATATTAAAAACTTTAAAATTTGAGGCTTTAATTCACTTTGTATCTTAATTAACCGAATAAACTACGCGCACTGCCAACTCTTATGTCGTGCAAACGATAAAACGATAAAAGGCATCCGCAGAGTTTGTGCTAGAGACGTGCCGCACGTTATCATAGGTCACTTAGCGTCGATTATTGGAACTTGGTTCCGGAACCGGAATTACACAGTATATATTAATTAATTTATTTATTTAAGCACTTAATCGCTCATGCCTTGATTGTCAGCATAGTAACAATTACTGAACGGTTTACTACAGATTTCTATTTGTCGTAATATGTGAAAGGGAACTTAATATGTTCATTTTTTCGAATTGCTTTGATCCCGCCTAATGCTGTTTGAAATTGTTCAACACTTAAACCGAGCAGGTCGAGTAGGAGCTGGCAGTTCGATAAGCCTTTAAATGAACCACATGAGGTTGGTTTAAAATTAATTTTCCAAATATCTCAAAAACTTTTCGATTAATTTAAACCAAACAAACGTTTATGGCTGGCTAAGTGAAATTATAATATGTAGTCTTGCATAAGCGGTTTGTGTCCCTAACTAAAATATCTAAGAAGAGGTAAAAGCAAACGTTTTGAACCATTTTTTTGCCATATTCAAATCAGAGATTCGAAAGAAATTAATTTATGGAATCCTGAATTATAATTGATTTGATTATGTGCTTAAAACCACATCAATGAATAATTCCGGTTCAGGAACCTAGTTCCGTATATCGAGTAACCGATGCTAACTTGACACGTAAAAAACATAGGCTGTTTAATAAATTCATTTGTTTATTTCATTTGAGAATTGCATAGAATTGTTGAACGAATGCAATATTAGTCGATGCTAATTACCTCGCCAGCTTTTGTCTCCTCCAGTTTTGTGCGTTTGCGTTTAGTTGGACCCGCATCCTCCTCGTCCGAAGAATCTAATATTTCGGTAATATCCTCATCATCCAATACTTTGCTGGGCTTTCGTTTGGCTGCCGTTTTCTGTAGGCTAACCTCAGTAAGTTTATCTGTTGCCTCCGTAACAACCTCTTCAACGTCATCGTCATAATCATCCTCCTCGACTACCAGGCAATCATCATCGTCGTCGTCGTCCTCGACTTCCGTGGGTCGACTGCGTTTTGAGGTGGAGGGACCATCGTCGGTTGCATCATCACCATTAGCTGCACGCTTTCGAGAGCTGGGCTCCGTCTCGGCCTCCGCCTCTTTAGGCTTCTCTGGCTCCTCCTTCGGTTGGAGCTGACTTTTGTCGGCAATCACCTCAAACAGGACATCGTCACGTTCGGCATCGAAGTGCGCTATAATAATGCTCAGCTCATAGCTCTGGAAAAAGTCGTCGCATTTGAGAATAACGCCATCCACAATGTTCATGTCGCTTAGCAGCTTCTGCTCATTGCATTCGGTTTCTCCCTCCTCCGAAGATATGACAATGGAGCCAGTGGACTCCAATGTCACATCTGGATTGACCATATTCAATGTTTTGATGAGCACCTCATCACGGAATGCTTTAATTTGGACACGTTTAGTATCAATGCGCAAAGTGATGGCTGGATCACTGGCGCACACATAACAATTTGGATTTGGCTCCGGGAAAAAGGCATCCGGCACCAGAAATTGATTGCGTCCATTGAGACGTAGTCGGGCGTAGACCGCCTTGCACTGCTCCCATTTGGCCTGCAGAACGCTGAAAGCGCGAATCACCGAGATGCCGGCCGTTATCGCATTGGTGGTGGCAATGGCAGGAATAATGTTGCCAGCCATGGATTTGATCTCAAACCGTGACTTGCGCTCGATCTCAAAGATGTGGGATCGAACATTGGCACAGGCGGCCACAAAGTCCATAGCCGGCTGATCGTCCTTATCCCACACTAATGTGTCATTGCCCTCCAGTTTGAGAAAAGCAGCGCTTAGTTCTTTGAGCGCATTGGCAAAGACATGGGCGCATTCCTCCACGGTCCAAATCTTGTGATGCTGACGCGCAAGCTCCTGGGCATCAGAGCTGACACCGTCGGGCAATAGTGTATCCCACTGCACAGGCACAGGTGCCTTGCGCGACTTCCAAAGATTCGACATGCGCAGCAAGTAGTTGATGTCCTCGTTAAAGAACTTGTTGAACAATTTGGCCGCATCGTATTTGCAATCCTTGGCCCATTGTCGCGTATTGATGCGCACCACGTTACCATTGGCGTTGGGAGAGTCTGTCTCTTTCTTATTCTCGTTCACGTCTGCAGCATCACCGGCAGCGTCTGCGTCCTTAACTTCAGCTGCGCCTTCCTGTGCCTCTGGATCAGCAGCATCGGGGGAAATGTCCTCATCCTCAACAGATTCACCAAACAGCTGACTATTAGTTTAACATGTATAATTAATATTGAATTAATTAAAGAGAGTAGAAGACACTTACTTGAAAAGATGCTTGGCCCAGACAATGCAGTGAATAGGCTCCGAAGGCGTATTGCGTATGGTGCAGCCGGGAAAGCTTCGTTGCTTTTCCTTGGGTGTGCATTCGTAGCACTGGGTTAGGCCACGCTTGATCAGCTCAACCTGTCCATTGTAGCCGGAGGTGCCGCTTTCAATCAGCGGCACATCTGCATTCAGACACATGCGATTCACATGATTTCGCGCCGCTCTGTTGTCCAAGGCGCTGAGCACCACGTCGAATTTCTTGAAGAAATTGACGCCGTAGTCAGTGCTGCAAATGAAAAGCAGGAATTAGCTAATGGTATACAATTAATAAGGCATATACTTACGACGTAACGCTGTCATGATAGGCAGTTATGTTTGCATCAGGATTAAAGCTGAGGGCGCTTTCACGAGCAACGCGTGCTTTCGACTTGCCCACATGTTCGCGATGGAAGAGGAACTGCCGGTTCAGGTTACTCAGGTCAATGGTATCCAAATCGATCTGTATATGAAAAATAATGAATTAGTGAATGAGGAATTGAACCTCGAATTTCAACTTACAATTTCGATTTCAGTGAAGCCGCTAAGCACAAGGTTTTTAAGCACTTCGCAGCCAATGCCACCTGCGCCCACAACCAATACTTTGGATTTTTTAACCAATTCTTGTAACGTTGCGGGCAGAACGCCGTCAATTGCTGCAGCCATTATTTATATTTTATTTAATTCTTTCTCACTTATCGCTATGCAAAAAAATATAATTCGCAAATGACGCCGGCAGTCACACAAACACACGTACATTTGTTAAAAACAGTGCTGCAAAACGCGAATAAGTATCGTACACAAACTGTTATCGAATTTCTATTCTATCGGTACAGCTGTTGATAAAATATCAGATTTCAAATATTTCTACACCCGGTCACACCGCTTTAATTGATTATAGTTGTAGCTTGTGTGTGTGTTGTGTAGAAGCAGAAAACGGACGTTTTATATTTTAAGTGCTTGTTTATGCAGCACGACAATTGCGCGTCAACTGCAATTTAAAAAAAAAAACACTTGAAATTCAAATAAATTGTAGTTCTTGCTGTAGTAGTCATGGCCGAAGTGCGACGCAGAAAGGCAGAAAACGAGGCGGACGATGCTGCTGCTGCAGCCGCAAGCAGCGCAGCTGATTCTTCTGATCATGTAAGTTATCCAGGCCAATAAGACTGGAAATAAGCTGAAATTATGGGTATACACATATAGCTGCACTCTCGTGCATCGTCTCCAAAATTTTCATAATTCATTGAAGCGCAAAAAAGAAGCGAATTGTATGTATACCAACACAACAAGATATCTACTATACACGTATGGTTGTACGTGTGCCTTACACAGTGTGCAGTGTTTTTGTTATTCTCTGACGCACAAGCAGGTGGTAAAAGAGCGCCCACCAGAGAGCCACATAGAGAGCGAGTGAGAGCGCTAGAGAGAAAAACCAATAACAATGTACTGCATACACAAATACACACAAATGCATATATGTACATATATACAACAGTGACAATAATAAGACCCCGGCTTGCGGAAAACAAATCCAATTAGGCGACCATTACGGAAGCTTCCGAAGGAACTACCCAACCGCCTAGCGAGAATTACCTCAGCATGCTTAACAAGATGCTTCCTCTTTTAGGACGCGCCCTCTGTCGCTATGGCAATGATAAGGTCCCAGTCTTTCCAGCCAGAATAATTCCCATTTGCGACTTTCTTATCAGACCCCGCCAATATTTGGCAACACAATTTAACACGCCACCCCAAACAACCAACCACAAGCAAACAACGTGGGACTTGGATAAATTAGCGAAATGTTTCGTATCTTGTCGGGCGCTTATACTGCGCGCTGTATAGCAGCAGACGGCATTGGACTTTGAATTCGCACATTTTTAATTTTATTGTATTTCTTAATGTTTGTTTATCGCTTTGATGATTGAGTGGCATTTGGTTTATTTGATAAAATGTTTGCAGGTCGATTCGGAGGAGGAGAAAATACCAGAGGAGCAATTCGTTGAGGAGCTGGCCAAGAATTTACCCCAAGGCACCGACAAAACGCCAGAGCTATTGGACTCGGCTCTCAAGGATTTGCCCGATCGGTATGTGCAAAAATTGATTCATATTTATATTATTTATAAGGCCAGAGCGCGAATGAAATTCCAAAAATATTCCAATACAGCTGTTTGCATTCGGCGCGCAAATAACACAAATTAACAAAAATAGAATTAGAAACCACAAATATTTCTTTGAAAGTTAAGTTAGGTCAAGACAATTTACCATAAAAATGAGAAAATAGTTAAACCATAGAAAAACACATTGAAACACGCATTGAAAATGTTGTAGCACAGTGTAAACTGTTTCTGTTTATTTATTTATATTTTTGTATGCTGTTATTTTAGATGGAAGAACTGGGTCATTCGCGGCATTTTCACATGGATTATGATTTGTGGATTTGCATTAATCATCTACGGCGGACCATTGGCCTTGATGGTTACGGTTCGTTTGCGAATGGAAGGGTTTACAACATTGACACACAATTAACCACTTACCCACATTTGTAGACGCTGCTCGTGCAGGTGAAGTGCTTTCAGGAGATTATCTCAATTGGCTATCAAGTGTATCGCATACATGGCCTGCCCTGGTTTCGCAGTCTGTCCTGGTACTTCTTGCTTACCTCCAACTATTTCTTCTATGGCGAACATCTAGTTGACTACTTTGGCGTAGTCATCAACCGTGTGGTAAGTGCTGTCGCATTTTTTTTTTAACTGCAATCACAACGTTATATGTTTATTTTCTTTGTTATGCAGGAATACCTTAAGTTCTTAGTCACCTATCATCGTTTTCTATCGTTCGCACTGTATATAGTTGGCTTTGTTTGGTTCGTGCTCTCGCTGGTGAAGAAATATTATATCAAGCAGTTCAGCCTATTTGCCTGGACGCACGTCTCGCTGCTAATTGTCGTCACACAGAGCTATCTAATTATACAGAATATATTCGAGGGGCTTATTTGGTTTATAGTGCCCGTTTCGATGATTGTTTGCAATGATGTCATGGCATATGTTTTTGGTTTCTTCTTTGGACGCACGCCTCTCATCAAGCTCAGCCCCAAGAAGACCTGGGAGGGCTTTATCGGTGGTGGGTTTGCCACCGTTCTCTTTGGCATATTATTCTCATACATTTTGTGCAATTACCAATACTTCATCTGCCCCATCCAATATTCCGAGGAACTGGGTCGAATGACAATGTCCTGTGTGCCCAGCTATCTGTTCACGCCACAGGAGTACAGCCTGAAATTGGTAAGACACCCTAACACATCCACACACGCCTTTAATATGGCTTCCTTAAAGAGTATTGATTTGTATACTAATCAATTGCAATTTCAGTTTGGTATTGGCAAGACAATGAATATTTATCCATTCATATGGCACTCAATCTCGCTGAGCATGTTCAGCTCTATAATTGGACCCTTTGGCGGTTTCTTTGCCTCTGGCTTCAAACGCGCATTTAAAATTAAGGTGAGTCGACATACTTTCAGCGCATTTGTTTTTTTTTTTTAATATGTTTGTGTGTTTAGGACTTTGGTGACATGATTCCTGGCCATGGCGGCATTATGGACCGCTTTGACTGTCAGTTTTTGATGGCCACCTTTGTCAACGTTTACATCTCAAGTTTCATTAGAACTCCATCGCCGTCAAAGCTCTTGACGCAGGTTCGTTGCACTTTTTAAGATACATATATTTCCATAACTTAAAAAACCCATCTTTTACAGATTTATAATTTAAAACCGGATCAACAATACCAAATTTATCAATCGCTAAAGGACTCACTTGGCGACATGCTTAATTAAAATATTAGACAACAACAACTGTTTGCTTTAGTCGTACGTCTCTACATATATATACATATATATATATTCATTATAAAAAGAAATTTATATATATTTATATATATCTATATATATACATACATATTTATATCCGTATATGAAAATATGGCAAGCGCCATACAGATGTTGTAAGGGCCCCCAAAAATGATTCAATTGAATCGAACACTATGAATAGTTTAAATTTTTTTTAACATAATTTTTGTTATGTTTTTAGTTATAGTTTAGATTTTTGTTGTTATTACAATTTTAAGTTATTTCTTTTACGATTACTATTATGATAATGGCATTATATAGTGCAATTACAATCCGTTTACCGGTGATTTGTTAAGCGATTCCATTAATTTTAACGAGCCCTACGATCGCGTTATGAGATTGACCTTTTACCAAATCGAATTAAACAGTGGAAAAAAATGCTTGTGGAAGCCGTCGAAAGGCAAAGCAACAATTATAACGATGATGAATTTAATGTTTGTATGTCTGTGTGTGAATTTACAATATATATATATATATATATATGTGTGTATATATACACCTATATCTAGTGTATATACATACATGTATGTGTGCTACTTTACTTACTATTAATTGAAAAAGATCTACGCCTCCGAGCCGAGATTAGTCATGCCAGAGAGACGCGCTTAGTTTAGATTGTGAAATGTTCTTTAGTAAATATTTTAACTTAAAACATAATTTTTGGATGAGCATTTGAGTTGTTAACTAAACAATATACGTACGATCAAGTATCTAAAGACTTTCAATTTATGTTATGCTTATTCTTTCTAGTGCAATAATGTTAGTCAAATATTGTTTTATTTTCCAGTGATCAGAACAAAAACTTCATATATTCAAATTGATATGCATTGCAAATTTTTGTTGTGCATATATGTATATGTATATATTTATATATATATATATATGTGCATGGACATATTTATTTATATAAAAATATATATTTAGTTCCTTTCGGAAATAAATATCATTTAAACGAGAAATTCCGTTGACTCATTCAATTCAAATTAGAGTTGGGCAACTGTTTTAGATATAAGCCAAGTCTCTATTGATGTTACAAAAACAAATTAATATTAATAAAAACAAACTATAAATAAACTATTTGTGTAACGAATAACAAATCCTGTTTCAGGGTGAAGAAGATGGTAGAAAAAGGGCAACTTATTTATAAGCTAATGTCTACATATATTTCGAATTGCAGAAATATGCTTTGGCACTTTGGTGGTGTACTTATGGCAATAGCAAATTTGAATTGCTATCAGTTGGACGGCGGCGCAGTGTCATCAACAATTTCGATTGGCTTTACTAGCATTTTGCCTATTAGTGATCGAGGCAAATCCTCAACATCGCTGCGCTCCAGGTCAAAGTATACTCCACGTTTGCGCGCATCGTCCAGCAAATGACGCCATATCTTTACAGACTGTTAAAGCAGACACATTTAAGCCAATTACTATCAAGTTTATGCTTCTAATCCTTACCTGCAGATCATCAAAATTACCACAGATTACTAGGCAGCGTTGCGGTCTAGTGATGGCCACATTAAGTCTCTGGTAGTTGGTAAGGAAGCCGACGCCGCGCGTGCGTGCATTCGATAGGATGACGATATCCCGTTCTTGGCCCTGATACGCGTCAACGGTCTGCGGTGTAATCTTCATGTGGCCGGGTATCACCTGACTAAGCGTATAGCAATGATTGCTGTAAGGAGTAATTAGTCCATAACTAAAGCGTTTGGCGGGCATCAACTTGTCCATCTCAATAAGCAGCTTTGCCACAAAACGTGCCTCCTCATCGTTGCTAATGCTTCGACTGCTCGTATCGTTAGTGTCCCGGGTATAACTCAAATTGATGACGCAGTAGGGAATAAAGGGTGAGATCAGTCGCTCGGTGCAGGTGGCATTGACCAGCTGATTATCGTAAAAGTAACTATTGGGCCATCGGCAAATCTCTGGATGCATGCGGTACTGCATGCTTAGCTTAAACACTTTGGTGTGCACAAAATGATTGCCTCGAGGTTTTTCCAGCTGTTGTTTCAAGTTGCGCTGAATGCGATCAAACATGGAATTACCAAGGCCAAAGTCAATTGCCTTCTGGGACAGCACAGTTGCAGGCAACTGCTGGGTATCACCCACCAGCACAAGACCACGTACACCAAAGCGCAGCGGCAGCAGGGTCCAGGGCTCGGTGCACTGTGTTGCCTCGTCAATGATGCATGCATCAAAGTAATCAATAAAGGCGGCCAGCTTAACGCAGCTGGAGAGCGTAGTGCAAACAATATTGGCGCGTTGTAAGCACGCCATGGAAAACTCGTGTTCTTCGCGGGGCGTCAGAGGCGGCTTCAATTGCTCTATTATCAGGCGCAATTGTCTCTCTTTGGAATTTAGCTGTTGCTGCATGTAATTAATCTGAGCAGGAAGCTTTTTAAGTTCAGCAATTTCCGTTTCCAACTGCTGTTGCTGCATAGTAAGAGCCTCAATATGCTCGGCCGACAGACGCTTGCGTTTCTCGGCTAGCTTCTTGCCGAGATAGGCATCCAGCGAAACGTCTCGCACATTTGGGTCCATTTTCTCAAAGAAACCAAACCGCACGAGCTCAAATTGTGAGTGACTCATGGCCTGGCGGGCACGCTTCAAATACAGCGTAATATTATCCACAGCAGCGTTGCTATGTGCACATATTAGAATCTTGCGGTCAAGCGTATGGTTACTGCTGCCATACATGCACTGTAGCGTGAGATTCGAAATGACCACGGATTTGCCTGTGCCGGGTGGACCCTGTATTAGCGTTATGCTAGGCGTCGAATCGTCGATCAAACGACTCCAGGTGCGCTGACAAATGTCCATTTGATGGTTATTTAGTCTCTTGAAACCTTTATATGCCGCTGGCTGCAATAGTCTGTTGTCATAGGACAAGACGTTCTCGCTGGGCTGCAGTATGCGCTGGAACAACGGCGAGCGACCCAGCAAATAAATGGCATTGAAAGCGCCCATTTCAACACGTATATTGTCCACCACAGGGCGTACAGTTAACGTCTGGCATGAGTTAAGCACATCCAAGCTGATGTTCTCTTGCAATATCTCAAAGCATATCTCACAATTGTTGCCTGTAAGTATATAAAAATGATAATACCATGTATGTCTTTAATTAAATATGCCTACCGGCTATGCGCTGAATGCGTGCAATCGATGCAAACGTCTCCTTCAGCTTTTTGTCACAGCTTATGGTGTACAGGTCAAATCTCTTGCCGAGCTTCTGATTGTCTACAAAATATAGAGAAGACATTATCAAGAAATGCATACGCAAGATGGATAAACTGACTTACATCTGGTGTTCAGCACGAAGCGAGGTCGATTTCGAGAGTTTGCATTCGAAATGTTATACAGATTGACTTCAAATGTGCTTTTGGAAATCTTGTAGTCACGCTCTATGGTAGAGATCAGCTCCAATTTCATCAGGGGTATAATAATGCTATATTAAAAACTATATAAATATAATGGGACATTTGTATCTACTTTATCTGAACTTACTCTCTGTACTGTTTGTAGCTCTTGAACTCATTTGGAATGGGTATTAGGACCTCAGACTCGGCCACCGCGTCGGCGCTGCGCAATGCTAACCACTGATTGCCCCAGTTAATAATGTTGCCCATAATCAAATCGGTAAAGTTTTCCAATCTACCCTGTGCTTGTGACCATGCGCGACGCTCCGCGTATGTGCTAAGTGTAACCTTCTTGGTATCCTTAACACCAGCTACTTTTCTATAAGCACCTTCAACCCGTTCAATTATTTTGATTTGTATATTGTCGTTGAATCGGACATGTCGATTGCTTTTAGCTCGCTTTTCGCGCTCCTGGCGCAAATCAAACTCGCGGTCCATGTCAGCGAAAGTAACACGATTGCAGGTTCTTTTATTACGCGCCCGTTCCGCCTCCTTGCGCTCGGGCGGACGACTATAGTGGGTGGGCGGACTCTTAACTAAATCGGCGGCATTCAGCTGCTGGGAGAAGGACTCTATTGTGGCACGACGCTTGTGCGTTGGCTTCTCAGGCTTTGCCTGCGCCTTATCCAGCTTGGGCTTCTTTGCTGTTGGTGGCTGCACGCCTTTGGTGAGAAATTCTCCACGGTTCGAATTACCCAGCGTGGGCACGCTCGTTGGTTTACGTTTGCGTTCATCGGCGCGGTCAGACGCTGCGTCCTGCTTTGGCTTGTCGGCAATTTTTTTCAGCTGCTCGCGACGCTTCTCTTTTATTTGTTCACACTCGCGCTTCTTATCCTTTGGTTTTTGATACCATTTCGCTTTCATCTCCGCTTGGTATTCCACTGAACGTTGTCTCTCCAGAATTTGATTTCGGCGCTCATTTTCCTTGCTTGCAGCTGAAACGCCACGCAATTTGCCACGGTTTTTGGGCAAATGTGGTGCTGCAATCACTTCTGGCCCCCGACTATTCTCTGTAGATACCGATTTAGTAATGCTTGTCGCGTCCTCTGAGTTTGCAGGCGAGGGCACGGGACGTTCCATGTAGCAAGACTTGGACCTGTTCAATAAGCGTGCGCTGAGTGCTTTCTTGATGGGTGTTACCTGGACTGGAGCAGGTATTATTTCGTCTGGTTTTGTTGGCACTTCTTTCTTTTTGTCTGCATTTTGTGTCTTTGGCGAGGACATGGGGCCTTCAACATAACAAGATTTGGACCTGCTTAGCAAACGGGGGCTGCATTTCTTTATGGGTGTTTCGGGCCCTGGAGCAGATTTTGCCGGCAGCTCCCTCTCTTTTTCTGTATTTGTAATGTTGGGTATCTGCGGTGGGGACGGCATTGGAGATTCCATATAACAAGACTTTGATCTGTTTTGCAAGCGAGGACTGACCCTATTTGTGGGTGTTTTAAGTTCTGGTGCAGGCATCTCAGCTGGCACTTCGAGTTGCTTGTCGCGTTTTGGTCGCGTTGGCGAACCCAAAGGACTTTCCATATAACAAGATTTAGATCTGTTCCGCATGCTCGAGCTGCTATTTTTAGCGGGTGTTTCAGTCTCTTGCTCAGGTATCTCAGCTGGCAAGTCTTCGAGTTGATTGTCGCCAACCGTTTCGGAATGTTTTGGTCGCGTAGGCGAAGGCAAAGGACTTTCCATATAACAAGATTTGGATCTATTTCGCATGCGCGAGCTGCGTTTTTTGGTAGGTGTTTCAGTCTCTGGTTCAGGTATCTCAGCTGGCAGGTCTTCGACCTGTTTATCGGCTACCGTTGAGTTTTTTTGTGGTCTCGTTGGCGAAGACAAAGGACTTTCCATATAATAAGATTTGGATCTGGTTCGTATGCGCGAATTGCTTGTTTCCGCGGGTGTTTTGGTCTCTGGTTTAGTTATCTTAGATGGCAGGTCCTTGGCTTGCTTTTTCTCGACTGTTCCCGTCTTCTGTGGCCTCGTTGGCGAGGACAAGGGGCTTTCTAAATAACAAGACTTGGACCTGTTTCGCAGCCGCGAACTACGTTTCTTGGTGGGCTCTTTGGCCTCTGGCAGTGGCTCAGTTGCTTCTGGCTTTGTTGGCAGCTCTTTAAGCTGAGAGCGTTCCGAAACAGTTTTGTTACGCTTGCGCGGTGTGGACGTTTTCTTTGCTGCTTTCGCGCTGGCTGCGGCATGCTGAACACTGGGCACTAAAACTACCTCCAATTCCTGCCGATTGTCTTCAACGACAGCAAGAGGACTGTTTGCCAAGTTGTCCGTGCTATTTTGATGCCGTTGCGACATGTCGATCGATTTCAGACGCACGCTGCATCTGCGCATCTTGGGTTTTTGCGGTGTGCTGCTGTTAACTGGAATAAATGGTTAGATATTCTTAAAAAATGCGGCGAAATTCTATTTACCAGATAAAAGGGCCGACAATTCATCTTCGCTACTGCTGCTGTCAATGCGCAGCGCTTTGGATTTACGGCTCATAAAAATATTTTCCGAAAGCTGAGAATCGTCGTCATCATCTGGAATAGGATCATTGGCCTGTCCTTCAACATTTTTCCCATCATCCAGTGGATAAACCTGGGACATAAGATTCTGAGTAAGCAGCTTTGATGACCAATCGGCTACTTTGCTGTAGAGCTCGTCGTCTTCGTCCTCAATGAGTATAATTTCATCGTCATCAATTTGAGTGGCTATTTCACTTTTAATCCATGAAGCTGGAGGCAGAAATTCTTCGTCGTGCAGGTCGTCAGGATCCGCATCACTTAGATCCGCCGACCCGCCGGCCATTTCCTCTTTCATTTCGCGCAGCACAGCTTGCGACATTGCAAAGTTTTCATCATAGTCATCCTGGTAGTCACCTATAACTATTTGATCTTCTCCTGGTGATAAAGGAGGTGGCGGTGGCGGTGGCGGTGACATTACTGGGTTTTCAGCCTCCTTTTCGGGCAAATCTTCGCCCGTCTGGTTAACCTCCTCCGGCAGCTCAATTACGTCGCCGTCGCGTATTTTTTCGCCAGTTGTAGCAATGTTGTTGTTGTTCAGCTGCTTGTATACATACGGATTTATTTGAAAAACCGATTCAAGCAAATCCTCATCAGGCTCGCCGAAAATGTTCTCAATCTCTTTGGTTGCCTGAGACAGGAGCTCCTGCTTCATCTCTGGCAGCTTTGGCAAATGTATTGAACGATGTGAAGTCGGCTTTATTGGGCTCTTATCAGCTGCATTATCTTTGTTGCTGACCTCTCCATTTTTCAGTTCGGGGTCCTCTTTATTGCCCTCCTTGGCCATTTCTGTTGGTCTTGTCGGGGTTTGGTCATTATCTTCATCATCCGATATGACGACAATGTCCTCTTCATTTGGACACGTCTTTTTCAATTGAAATATAGCATAATTTGGCGGCACAACATCGTGCGGTGTTTCAATTTGGACGCCAAGACCGATTCTATCGCCGCAATTAAGTTGCTGCGTATTTACTTCGAGCTTGGACTCATTTATAAACACGCCATTCAATGCGTTCTGTTGATAGAAACCCACCGAAAATGTACATATTTGTCAACAATTCGTTGTTAATGAAATAAGACGCTTACCAACTGCTCCAGGATAACGATATTTTCACTGTTTACGATAAACTTCGCATGTTGTCTAGACAGAAAGTCATATTCCTTTAAAACAATCTTGCAGCAGGAGTGCCTGCCCACCGAGTTGTCGCCAGACTGCAGAATCAGCTTTTTACCGGTGCTTACATGCTCCAGGTACCAATAGCTCCCTCGTGCATCCATTGCGGAAGTGCACTGAGCTGCAAATGCGAACAATTATATTTCACCACACAAATTCTGGTCCGAACTGTAATGCCAAAACGCTGCGCTCAACAATATCAAAAAGTTAGAGGACAATGTGACCATAATGAACAATTATTTTAATACCTAGGATTCTAAATCTCACGATTTAAAAAATATACCGCCAAATATTATTATCGCTATTATTGTTAAAATGCTTGCTTTTTGAGGCATGCTAACAAAGTATTGACGTTATTATTTACTATATTTATTTGGGGCTTTAAACTTTTTGCTATTAGAACTGATTTAGCACCACAAAGCTCGAGGGTCGAATAAAATACCAGGACTTGCAGAAAATACTAATGCAAATGTAAGTCCTAAGTGGCAACACTGCCATATGTAAAATCAGCTGTGTTGCACATTTTGGCGCGATGCATTTGAGTTATGATTTCCGTACATTATGTCAAGAAAACAGTTCAGAAACAAAGATTCAACACCAGAAAATAATGTTAATGCTAAACGCATTTGTGTCGACCACAATAAACCAGGCACAAGCGGTGCAGGCACCATGCAGATGAGCGAGAGTATATTTTGGCCGGACAACGATGCCAGTTTCTTTTCCCATGCCAAGCTGGAGGAATTGTTTAGCGGACAAGATGCTGTTGTGTCGGCACCTTTCAGCAGTCCAACCAGCAATAAATTTCATCAGAGCCAATCGGATGATAGTCTTTTTGGCGATATTTCATTGGCCAGCGCAGAGGAAGCAGCGCCGAGGATTGAACTGGGCCAGAAGAGCCCAAAGGAGCAGAGTTTCAAGGAAATCAACCTAAAAGACTTGAGCATGGCTGAAATTGATATTTTCCATGGCGCTGATGATTACAGCGATCCAGTAGCACAAAATACGCAACTTTTTATGGATGCAATAGCCTTTAAGGTACCAAAATCTCCAGAGAGAACACAAATGATTGCCCCACAAGCCAAAGAGGATTCCATAGTCATGTCGACATCCATGTCATTCATATCCAAGTCCATTCTGGAAGGCATTGTGCAGGGAACACAATACGAAACATATGAAGCTCTGCAAAATCGATCCATGCTGCAGGCACAACAAGAACTGGCGGCGCTCGATCAGCTGGACTGGCAGTCGCAGGCGTTTGCCGAATTCGAAACCGCCAAGGAAGTGGACGACAACAGTTTTCCCAGTAAGGGCGATTTCTACGGTCTGCCAGACAGGGTGAAGAATTTAATATTCGAGCATAAGGGCATCAAAAGTTTATATGGTGAGTAAGTTGTTAATATTTCGGCATGTTTCGACTATTACTTATATGGAACCCTTTTAGAGTGGCAGGATGAGTGTCTGAATCTGCCTGCCATACGTAAGCGCAAAAATCTAATTTATGCGCTGCCCACTAGCGGCGGCAAGACTTTGGTTGCCGAAATCCTAATGCTTCGCGAGCTGCTCTGCCGTCAACGCAATGTGCTCTTCATACTGCCCTATGTGTCCATAGTGCAGGAAAAGGTGAGCGCCATGTCACCGTTTGCCATTGCGCTAGACTTCATTGTGGATGAATATACGGCGGGCAAGGGCAAATGTCCGCCACAACCACAACGCAAGCGACACAGCTTGTTTATCGCATCCATTGAGAAAGGCGCCGTGCTTATGGACAGCTTGATTGATGCACAACGACCACACGAGATCGGTCTGGTGGTTGTTGATGAGCTGCATTTGATTGGCGAGCGCGGCCGCGGCGCTACATTGGAGGCTTTTTTGACCAAGGTCATGTTTTTGAATGGTATCTATATAACTCCATATACTCCTTCACAGTTGCTAACTGTTCCATCTCCATTTTAGCCAACATTCAAATTGTGGGCATGAGCGCCACCATTGGAAATCTGAATGAAATTTCGGCTTTTCTCAATGCAGATGTTTATACGCGTGGCTTTCGTCCAGTAGAGCTAAGGGAGTACATCAAATGTGGACATGATTTGCTGGAAATCAATTCCGCTGGGCAAACGCTCGAGGAGATATTTGTGCCTCAGCGCACCGTTAGCTACAATGTCAGTCTGTCTTCAGTTTAGCGGCCAATATTAACTTTCTTTACTCCTTTACAGTACAGCGCCGCTGTGGAGCGCGCTGATCCAGATCATCTGGCGGGTTTAATAAGCGAATGTGCGCCGGAGCATTGCTGTCTGGTGTTTTGTCCCACGCGCAAGAATTGTGAGAATGTCGCACTGCTACTTAGCCGCATTGTGCCCAAGCAAAAGTTCTTTGAGCATCGCCAGAGTGAGAAAGCCGATCTTATGAACGCTCTGGACAAGATGTGTGGCATTCTAAGTCCCGTGCTGGCAAAAACGTTGCCCTACGGCATTGCCTATCATCACTCGGGACTGACGACGGACGAACGCAAATATATTGAGACCGCATATCGATTCGGCGTTATCACGGTAATTTGTTGCACCTCCACGCTGGCGGCGGGCGTGAATTTGCCCGCCAAGCGTGTGATTATACGTGCGCCCTATGTCGGACAAGAGTTCATGACGTTGTGCAAGTACAAACAAATGGTTGGACGAGCTGGACGCGCAGGTCTAGGCGAGGCGGGCGAGAGTATTCTGATAACGCAGAGCAAGGACAATGCTCTTGTGGGGCAAATGCTATTCTCGCCCATGGACAAAGCGCTAAGCTCGCTGGATCAGCTAGATGCCGTTGGCTTACAGGTGAGGCAGTGCCCTCTGGGTCCCACTCCAAGACTGAGATCCTCTTTCTTTCCAGTCTTTAATACTGAGCGTCATTGGCTTGAACCTGGCTGATTGCCGACGCGATCTCAACCGTCTGGTCAATAGCACTTTGCTGGCCGTGCAGGCTGGCGCCTTGGAAGTAGCCGTTGATGAGCTGGTGCTGCGCATTTTGCGTGATATGTTCAAGAACAAGGTGCTGCAACTAAGAGAAACTGCGCCTAAGGGCAAGCCCAATAGCTCGGATATTATGACTACACAGGATGTTAATCAGACCAGTCGCTCGGCTTCCGATCGTCGTCTGCTCATAAGCCAATCCACACGCTTTCAGCTAACCAACATTGGGCGCGCCGCATTCAAGGCGGGCATTGATTACAAACGCGCCTTTGCGATACACAGAGAGCTGCAGCAGGCGCAGCAGCAGCTCATACTCACCAGCTATGTGCATCTGCTGTACCTGGTTGTCTGCTTCAATTCCAATGAGCGTGGCGATGAAATGTTCCCTGCTGATGCCAACATACTCTTTCGCGAATATACATCTTTGTCGCCACAGACACAGGCGTTGTTCAAGCAGTTGGGCTTTACGGAGGCGCATGCGGCCAGGCTAGCCAAGACGCAGTCGGTGCAGGGTCCGTTGGCCGTGCAATTGAATCGCTTGTACAAAGTCCTCATTTTAGCTGATGTACTGGCGCTCTTGCCGTTACCCACCGTGGCCAGCAAGTACAATGTGGAGCGCGGCACGCTGCAGCAGCTAATCAGTCAGTGCACGGCGGCGGCTAGCGCCATAGTGCGTCTGTGCGAGCAAATGGATGAGTTTTGGTGCTATAGGCCACTGTTTGAGCGCATCAATCAAAAAATGGATCGCTGCGGCACGCTGGAACTGGAGTCGCTGCTAGAGCTGCCCGCTGTTAAGATTGTGAGGGCTTACCTTGATTAATTAAATAATCGCTTATAATTTATTTGTACTTTTCAGAATCGAGCCAAGCAGCTTTATGCGGCGGGCTTCAGAACCATTGAGGATGTGGCCAAGACGCGTCCCATTGCGCTGGTCAAAGCTGTGGAATTTATGCCACTCAAAGTGGCCACGGAAATTATATCGGCTGCTAAGGTTATTACCTCTATATCCTATATGTTATATCTATATTTAATCCTCTATTCGCTTTTGTCTGTTTAGATAATATTAATGAAAAAACTGGATCATCTGGAGGAGGCAACTGAGGCGCTGAAGAGCTGCCTTTGCACAAGCGAAACGCAATCAAGTTAAATGTATATTAAAGTTAAGGTTATTGTTTTTGCTTTTTTTTTAGTTGTTTTGTATCATAGTTTTAATTTTGTTTAAGCACTCGACTTGAGCCTAGAATACAGCTTAAATAATACACGCACACAAAATGTTTTTGCATACTAAATTTAAATTAATTTGTTTTTTTTTGTTGTTTTTTGTTCAATTTGTTTACCGCATTCAAGTATTTAGCTAAGCGCAGCGGCTGTTGATGGTTGTTATTGTTGTTGTTTGTGTACTACATAAAAATTAGCAGACAAAACTTGAAAGTTACTTTTGTCTCGGCTACTATCACGACAATTGAGTATTATATAATGTATATATTAATAATTTTTTTGCTTCTCTGTTTCACGTAAAAGTTAAGCGCAAATTGTGTGTTTGGAAATTTTGCCTGATTCAACTTTAACTATAGAAAAAAATATTATAATTAGCTTGCGGCTAAGGAGGAGGACTAAAATATATCAAAAAGAAAAAGATAGTGTAGAAAAGCAGTTGCCTAGGCACCTGGTACGCCTTCTAGTTATTTACAGCTGAAGAAACTGAAAGGAAACAACATGGATATATCACAACGGTATTCGCTATATCAATTTTATCAGGCTATCATTATATTTACCTTGATTTTTCACAGACTTGTAACCGCGACTAATATGCAAACTCATCGTAGTAATGCTGGGCATGACGTGCGCCCGTTTGGGTGCTGCTCACTGCTCCTCCGGCAGCGTATTCGTGTCGATGTGCACGCGAGACCTGCGCCGGGACAATCGCTCTCCGGCGTATATCTGTCGATGAGAAATAGGAATCACTATGATAGTTCGGTGGCGAATGTGACTGAGACTGAGGCTGTGACTGCGAAGCGGATGCATGGGATGATGACGGCGAATGATTCTGATAGATGGATGCCTGCTGTTGATAGTTGTTATTGCCATGGCCGGCAAATGGATTGTACGCCCCGCTGGCAGCGGGTGCGACATACGCACTAGCATAGGGCCGGCTCTGATAGTTGGCATGCTGATGCTGATTCTGATGCTGATGTGGATGCAGTGGCGTAAGCGGTTTAAGCGTGGGATCGAGCGCATCGTTCAGCGTCACATCGTAGTCGTTCTCATAGAGTTCGTCCAGATTGAGCTTGACCGGCTGTGGCTGTGGCTCTGGCCGCCTAGGCGTTACCGATGTGGGCAGTGCGCTGCGTGGCGGCAATGTGGTGCGCGGTGGGTTGGGCGACGGTGCCGGCAGCTCATCGCTGTCAGTCTCACTGTCACCGTCACCGTCACTGTCACTGCCCGGCTGTTCGCCGCGCAGCAGCGGTGCTCCATGCTCCAGCAGGCGCACGCCCGATATGGTTGAGCCCATGTCGATGGGCGTGCTGTCTGTGGTGCGCGTTTCGCTGGTCAGTTGCGGCCGCACTGCCACGCCCACCGGCTGAAGGCCACGCGGCAAATATGGGCTGCCACCACGCGAGGGCAGGAAGGGTCGCTTGACCACACGTACCGAAGCGGGTCGCAGGGGTTTGGCTGGCGCTGCTGGCGCCAACGGCTCATCAACCTCATCTGGCTCCGCGTGCTCTGGCTGCAGTGGCTCCTCCTCGGGTAGTTCCTCTTCCAGTGCGGGCGCTGCTGTTGTCCTGGACGTGGGCAACGCACGTTGTCGATTGGCTAGCGCTAGTTTTTGATTGCGTCGAGCCGGGGTTATGCCCACAAAGGAGTTGGATTTCGTGAGCGCCGATGCCACACGTTGTTGTGCTGGCTGCTCTTCACTGGCGGGCTCGACATGCTCCTCTTCGTCCTCCTGCACAATGGGTTGTCTTGGGCGCGCTGCAGGCTTACGTGGTGCGGGTACAGCTGGTTTGGGGCGCACTCGCTGCGCTCGAGCAGGTGCTGGCCGCTCCTCGTAATCCACATCGTCCACGAAGTCCACATCAGCAGCCGGCGCACGAGCTCTGCTGGCCTGTGGACGCTTGCGGCGTGGCGTTGGCTCGGCCTCGTAGTCATCCTCCTCGTCCAGCAGCGCCTTCTTGTCTGTTACTGGCTTGCGCAGAGTTGAGCGTGTGGGCTTCTGTTCTTTGGGGGCTGCAGTGCGTCTGCGTGGCGCATTGCGTGCTGGCTGGGCCGGCTGCTCGTAGTCCTCGTCCTGCTGTTCACGGTCTTGATAGTAATCATCATCCTCCTGTTCACCACCTGCCGGAGCGTGTGTGGTAGCCGTGATCTTCTGCACGGGATAGGAGAACTTCTTCTTCTCATTGACGGGCACGGGACGTGCTATGCGCGGGGGTGCACGGGGACGGGCATAGACGGAGGCAGCCGCCGCTTTGGGCGTAACAAACTCAGTCAACGGCTTGGGCGTTGTTTTGACTTTCTGCGGTGTTTGCTCTTCGGCTGCCTCCTCTTGGTCCAGCCCGTAGGGCTTCTCATACTCATCAAGCTCGTCCAGCACGGCTACCGTAGATGGTGTCGTGCGCTTCTCACTGCTGCGGCGTCTGCCACCTGAACGACGTGGCTCGTCGGCGACGCGTTCCTCATTGAAGCTGCGACGCTCATCAACGCGTCCCGGCTTGCGAGGAGATGCCTTACCACGTCCGCCAGCTGCCGGCTGGGGCTTGCCACGCCGAGCACCTGGTCGATTGCGCCGATCATCATAGTCCTCGTCAACGAGCTCATCCTCGTCCCTGTAGCGATTGCGGTTGCGTCGTAGCGGCTTTTCCCCCACTTGCTTATCCTCGTACTCATCGTCGTAGTCCAGTTGCAGTTGCGGCTTTCGCGGACGCGGCCGTGGATTGCGACGACTGTAGCGCTCCTCATAGTACTCATCGTCAGACTCGTCATAATAGTAGTCATCCACGGGGCGGCGGTTGTAGGGTCGATGATAGGGTCGCTGCGCCCGACGTCTGGGCGGGGCTGGTGGTGGTTCCGTTGTGGTGGTGCTCGTCGACGACGTCGTGGTGGCCATGTAAAGCTCATCATTTCTATGGACCAAGAGCTTAAGTTAGTTACGTTCAATTATCTAAATCATGTTCGACTTGCTCTCACCTGTTCCAGTACTTTTGGGAGCCCTCGCAGTCCACATCGGAGGCAAAGTGACAGATGAAGGTGCGCTGATCGAAGGCCGTGAAATTGGCGCAGAGGAAATCGTGTCGTATACCGTAGACGCAATGATGATAGATCTGCAAATGATAAAAGCGCAGTTAGTAAAATTCGTAAATAACTAACTAAAGTCTTGGCCAGATGGAGGTGTGAACGCCGTCTGTTTAACGTCTCTTCGCCAGGCAAACAAAATCCAATTTGAGGTCAAGATCGACACGCAGACAAGTTTTTTTTAATGTTTTTCTTTTTGGCTTCGCCTTTGGGCACGTAAGCCGCAAGACGGCGGCAAAAAGAGAAATTACTGGACATGAGTTACGTGGTAGCTCATATTGCGCGCTGTTCAACTTGACCAATTGGATAACGACCCCTTCCCCTCCCCCACCCACTACATTCCCGTTGCGCTGTTGAGCACAAGGTCAACATACATAAGAAAAAACATGTAATTTGTCTGGCTCTAGTGACCCTCCCTTTGGTTTTGAGATAGGGAGGGAGTTAACAGCATTTGACAGCATCATTAGAAAGAAGCCTTTCTATGCGATTTTCATGAATTGAAGTACGACCCTTTAGGTAATAGTTTGATTAAAAAAGAGTTACTTTTTCAAGCAAGCTAGAAATACAAAAAAAGAGAGACATTCATAGCAGGGGGGGGGGGGGGGGGGGAGAGAGAGAGAGAGAGAGAGAGAGAGAGAGAGAGAGAGAGAGAGATAACTAGAAAAAAAGAGGGTGCGATCAAGAGGAAATATGATTGTTAGCGAGACGGAAAGAGAGATAGAAAACGATAGCTACGGCAGAGAAACTATTCTTTATATAATTAAAGGATTCCTTGAAGTAGGAGTCAAAGCCATATGGTCTCTCATTCACTTATTCACTCACCTGACATTTGTACTCAATTGAGGCATAAAAACCGTCGTGGAGGCCCTCGCACTTGAAGTGAATCTCATCCATGGGTGGAACGGTAGACAAGAAAGGATAGCTCGAGAGATTGAAGCTGCAAAGAAGATGAGATACAATTGTTAAGGACTTATCGAATAAAGTTCGAATACAAAATCATATCCAACTACATATTTTATAGACCCACCCTCTCAGCTCTCGTGGCAAATTTGGATCCCAGACATAATCAATTTGCGGTATTCCCGTCAATTTGGAGTTTTTCGACAGCGTCACATTGTCCGCCTATTTAAAGAGATATATTAGAAATCGTAACTGCAAATAAAACTAATTAAGCACCTTGTTCCCCTTGCTCTCCTCCCCCTCGCCGGTGGGCTGTGGCAGATCTTGTTTTTCTGTGGCAGGTTCTGAACTTTCGGTAGTCGTTGTGCTTGTGCTGGTTGTAGAGGCAGGTGTTTTGGCAATGGAGACCTTCTTGAAGGGCAGCGCAGCATCCGCGGAGCCAATCAGACCCAACAACAGCACTGTACGGATGAAAAGGAGGGCAGGTATTTATATAAAAATTATGTGTAAAAACTGTATCTGGTTTTTGTTTAATTGCATAATCGGAGCAGTTTATGCGCTCGACTGCCCGCCGCTATCAGCGACCATTGCATTATATCACAGCACATGCAGCGACCGGTGGCAGTTATTTTTCGGGAGTTTCGGCTGCTATTCGCTGTGCAGCATAATCCAGTTCGTTGCAAGTGCAGAGCAACGATTAAGTTATTGCAGCGCCTGAATAACCTTTCCTCAAGCATTTACGGTGGGTAGAGTGGAAGGGGGGGTGGGGGGAATTTAACTCACCTGTCGCTGTCATGAACAGCCAGCGTTTGGCTCTTTTCATTATGACGTCTGTGCAGTTGCTGTTGAAATTTTTATTTCCCGCTTTGGTTTGCTTGAAAAAAAAAACAAAGAAATAATAACAAAATTATGTAAATTTCACAAAGGAAAGAAACCAAATAAAAATGTTGTAAGAAATGCGAGAATTCGCCAGTAAAAACACACCCCGACGAGCGCAGGCCAAGATTTATGCTCTTTGTGCCAAGTGAAAAAGTCACTGAACGTTGCAAAGAAATGTCTCTGGAGTCCGTTCCGTTGAGTTCTTCACTTAACATTTTCGGCACGCAATCCACAAGTATTTTTTTTCTTTTGTCTTTTTTGGAGCTACACCTAACTGCAACTCGCACATGTCTTGATTAACGTTACTTTTTTAGCTGACAGTCAGTCAGCTTGTGGCGGAAAAGAAATGCACAGCAGGTGTGTGTGTGTGCGTGAGTGTGTGAGTGTACTATATCTAGTTATGGTCGTAGAAAGTGTTCTAGACATAGATGCGTACAATTTTCTATGCTCTATCTATGACTAGTTCATATATATGGAAAAAGTGAAACTGAATCTTTTGCCTAGTTAAGTTAGCCCATATTTTAATGTAACTAAATAGTTTTTAATCATAATCAATTGTAGTTCTTTGGGTTAACTTTTGTGCAATAATTTTATCATAATTATTTGTCTTTCGACATAGTATATAGTATATATACATAGATAAGGCGAATTTATTTTACAATATACTAATTGGAGCCTGAATGGAGGCTTTTTTTCTTTCTATAATTAATAAAAATTTATATTTTATCTTAATATTATTTCGGATGTAAGTTACTTTTGCTAAAAAATAAACAATATGAATTGTACTATTTATAATAATGGGCAATTTTTTGACAAAAAAAGTACTTCCTATATACAATTTTTGTTTAATAAATAAAAAATGAATGTGTGCATAATTTGCAGCTCGATATTTTAATAAAAGAAAATGATAATGATAAAAGCTTTTATCATGTTGTGCCATGCTTTAATGTATGTGCAACAGTTTTGTACAATTTCCGTTGAGTTTCCGTTAATTTAAAGACTTGATTCAGTTGAAGCAGTAATTGCATAATTAGCAGCTGCCTTCAATGTCACTTACGTAAGGCGTAAAGCGCAGCGAAAGGGCAACAACAAAAGCATAGTCACACACACAAACACACACACAGACACACATACACGTGCAGAGAGGCGGTCGGACAATGCATAACTATATCAAATTGAAAAGTGAACAATAGATTACAATTACAATGCGGCAACACTTTCATTTTCAATGCGTTTTAATTGGCTGTGCAAATATATATATGAAAAGCAAAGGCAAAAACCAAACACAAAATCAAAAGAAAAAAAATGCAAAAGCAAAAACCAAATCAAATTTCAAAAGCGGCAGCTGCCATAAAAAGTAAGTGCTTTAATTATTTATATTGATATCATTTAAGCATATAGTATACTATATTGGCGTGGCTGCAAATTCCAAGCTGCCAAACACTTGCAGTTGATTTATTGCGAAACAAAGACAGACAGCGATAGAGAGAGAGAGGGAGAGAGCAAGACGTAGAGAGAGCTTAGTGAAGCGTTTAAGTTGTATTAGTTAAACAAAGTTGAAAGATACAAATGCAAAAGGTTCATTGGAGCATTGTAATTCGGCAGCCTGGCATTGTTTATAGATCCATCTACCTTTATATATATATCAGATAACAGTTTTATTATGCATTGTTTATTGATTTGCCTTCAATTCGATTATCCATCCATCCATCCATCCACACACACTCACTCGTACAACGGGGCGTATGCGCATTTCGAAATGTCAGACGGCGCGACGTCTCGTTGTTTGGTTTTTTTTCTTCGTTTTTTGCCAAAGAGGAAGCTTCAATTGATTGGGTCTTGGTAATGGATTTTGGGCTCAAATTTATGCCCAGCTCCAAGCAGCTGTTCGTCTGCCTTTCATTTATTCATGGCACAATTTTTGTTGTTGTTGTCAGTTAACGCTGTTAGCTGCATTTTGTATGACGAAGGCGTCTCGTCTTTGCGGGCTTTACCAATGTGACGGAGTTCAAAGATTCGCCGTTCACACCCCGCTCCACAAAACGAAAATGATTGTCGCGCATTTTAAGTGGATATTTAACTTCATTTTTTTTTTAATTTTTGTTTTATAAATGTTGTTAAGCGTGTGCGTTTATGTGATGTAGTTTGTCGCAAGCTGTGTGCGGTTTCTGACATTTGAGAGCCTGACTTTAGATAAACATGTGACAAAATATATGATAATAGTTTGCTGAGCTGCAGCCAACTGGTTCTATTCATGCGACCTCAAATGCAGGCTCGTTAAATCTCAAATGTCAAAGGGTTCTAACTACTGCGCAGCTGATAGATATATTAAGCTATAAATATAATAAACAAGAATATACAATAAATGGGAATATAAATATTTAGTTAAACACAAAATTATGTGAGCTGGCATCTAAGCCAAATGCTTCTTTACCCTCTCTTGAAGATCATTTAAATGTATATTTTTATGATTAATGCCCTCTGCCATAAATCTTGCACACAATGTTCCAAATATGTAATAAGTGCTCTATGTGCTTATTCTTCTTTATATCTTAGCCTTTATTTCAAATATCTAAGGTCAAGCTAAGCCGCTTTTTGTTTTGCTTTTTTTTGGCTTTTATGATATATGGCTATGCTAAACAAGTTAAATTTATGGCTGAGCTTTATGTATTGTTTCCCTTATTTTGGTGCATTTTGCATTGTCATAAACAATAATATTAATAATATTAATATTAATTTTGCTGTTGCTCGCTCGCCCATATGACCATATAATAATAAAAGCATCTAATTTTTTACGGCCCACCATTGTCCGGAGCCGGAGATGAGCTGGCTGTCTGGCTGTCTGTCCGGCTGGCTAAATGTCTACATGTCGCTGACACGTATCGATGTGCCTCGAAGTTTCGATGTTAAATTGCCTTTTAGCCAAGTTCAAATTCAAGGCTAAGCACGACGGCTTACAAGCACACGAATACCGGTAAATTGGTGTTGTTGTTGTTGTTCGAGTTGGTTTTGTTTTTGTGTTTGTTTGTTGTCGTCTATATAAAGATTATTAATGATGGGCAAGCGAGTCTCAGTCGCAATCATAGTCACAGTTTTTGTCGCAGTCGCAGTCACAGTTCTGTTAAAAATCGGAAATTGTATTAAGGAAGTTTTTAAATGTGCATTTTACTTAATTATTTATTTTGTTCATTTGCAAATTTAATAGTTCTCTTTGCGTTTTATGAGCGCAAGTGCCTTGAAATTGTGCAAATTGGTAGAAGATAAAAAAACAACGCGAATCTCAGAATTTGTTGAATTTTTCACATAATTTAGCGATAAATTCGTTGTGTATGGGTTTATGTTTGTATTTTTCAAGTTGATTTTGTCAAATGACGTTAGCTAATTAAAATATTAGCCAGCCTTAGACAATGAGCAGCATTTAGAATCAGCAGCTGGAGCTAGAGTTGGATGTGGCTTAAGGTCGGCGGGAGTCAGAGTCATAGATCTCTAGACAATGCACAATTTGAATAAATTTTGAAAACGTTTCGATTAAATTTTGCATGCAATGCCTTATTCATTCCAAAAAAAGGTCGTCGTGTCTCGGTTTTCGTCTAGAGTGCACACTTGGTAACCAGTTTAAATTGATGCTATCTTCGAAAAAATAAAAATAAAATACGATATTAAAACTCTCGATTTCATTTACATTTCAAATGCGAGCAGTCGAATTTCTGTGAAATGTGTCGTCGCACCGACGTCAGCAACTGGTTTCGCCAGATAGTTTTTCCTTTTTATTTTGACTTGATAATATTTTAATTTATACATTATACACCAAGCGAAGCATCAACCGGTTGTTTCTCCGACCTGGCCCGGCCGAGGACCGCTGCCGATCTTCAATATGCAGATGCCGGTTCCAAGACTCGACTGCGCCGTTGTCACAAGAAATTAGCATCTCTGGGGCACAGCCGTTCAATTTTGGACTTTTCTTTCGCTTTTTTTTATATATATATTTTTTACGATTTTTTTTTATAGTTTTTGGTGCTCTTTCAAGGTCGCCTCAGCTGTTGTGGTTTTGAGTTTCTGCTGAATTTTGTGGTGCAGTTTTTTTTTTTTAATTTTTTAATTTTGTATCTGTTTTGCTTAGCATGTTGTTATACAATCTAATGTGGGCTTAGCTAATTGCCCTTTGTAGTGTCATTTGTCAGTCTTGAATTGGTTTTGTGAGATTTTGCAGATTATGTTGCCAATTAATAAAGTCACACAGCTGTCATTTGTTTTATTTTGTTGCTGTTGTTGTTGTTGCGTGGGCGTAGATCGAGTAATAATTCCATAAATTATAAAAAATTGCTGAACTTGATTGTTATTAATGAAGTCATCTGCACAATAGAGCACATATTATAATAAGCCTATCCAAGAGTTTTCTTGGCCTTGTAGCTTATAGAACTCTGGCCTTAAGCACTCGTAGCGTGACTAATGCTCATTACTGGGCATTCTTGTTATAATTTTCTTCCTATATATTAACTATTTCTTTGTTTTTTCGTGCGCATAATAAATTCAATAATTTTGCCACTAATCTGAACGTCGCAAATTGAGATAAAATAAATTAGGCTAAAAATATATTTTAAATACATAAAATATCATCTTAAATCTACCCTTATAGCAACTATTTTTCATCTTCATATATCTAACATTTAAAATAAATTAAACTATATATTTTAAATAATTAAAATTTCATCCCTTTATCAACTCTTCCACATCGTCATATATCTTCGTATTAATTTTCATTTTCATAGCTTGCATTTATTTTATAGTTTTTCCACAGCTGGCATCTTCACAGCTTTTGCTGCCTTTTTCTGAGGCGTCGCTTGGATGGCAAGTGAAAACTAAATTTCCTTTTGGAAAATCGTTTTCAGTTTCAATTTGTGCGCTTGTTAGTTGCTGTTTTTACTTTTTGTTATAGCCGTTTACAGTGCTGCAAATAAGTTAATCGCCGATTCCGGTTGCCATTTATTTAAGTTCGGTTCGTTTTGCCGAGTTGTGAGTAGTCACAGCTAATATGCAAAAGGAGAGCAGCATCTGTGTGAGAAATCTCAGTTTCACACGCATCAAAAAGACTTTTGGTGTTTCCCAGTAATTAACAAATTAAAATGTTTTCTTTGGGCGTGAGGAAAACAGCCAAAGTAAACAGCCAAAATAAAGAAATGAGCAGTAAAATGCTTCGAAGAAATTAAAAAATAATAAAACTAAAGTAAAAATAAAATGCACATATGTTCGTTGCAGATGGATGAAAGTAAAATTTGAAAAATGTTGTTGTAACCGTTGTTGTTGTTGTTGTTGTTGTGTTTACTGTGGCTGGTGATGAAAGTAAAATGGCGCAGTTTTTTGTTTGTGTTTTGGGCGCCTTGCAAAGATGCGCACGCCAAAAGATACAAGATACAAAGCAACAAATTATGTATAAACAAATTATGGCAATTGTTTGTGTGTTTCAGCAAGTAATGCCAGGCAACAACAACAACAACAACCGATTTCAGCAACAACATGTAGTACATGGCAAATAATTAGCAACGCTTGAGATAATTTTGCAAAGTTTTGCCAAGAGTTTTGGCCCTGAGTTTTGAAGAGCTAACATTGTCAGATGCTGCAGCAAAAATAGCTTTGCAGCGTATTCAAAAAATTCAAAAAAAAAAAAACATGGCTTACCTTAAAAGCAGCTACCAAATTTAAATATTTTTTTTTAATAATCCACAAAAGTTTTTCAATGTTTTTAAATATTTTTCTTAAATGCTGCTGAAAATGCATTAGAAAAAGCAAAATGAATACAATAAAATGCACACACACGCACACATGCGCAGACAGGCAGCGCCAGAGAGAGAGAGAAAGACAGAGAGGCATAATATATATCTGCCAATGTGTGCGTGTGTGTTGCAGCTTGTTGCATTGTGTGCGTGCACTTGTGAAAATTTTTATTGTTGTTTTTATGTATTTTGTATGTTTGTACTTTTTTTTTGCTTAATGGCTAGCACACGCGTTTGTTTATATTGTTTAAATATATATATACTTTATTTAAGCATAATTTTTTGCAACTTGCAAAGCGTTGATTGAAAACTCTTTGGGGGTATTACGACACTTGAGCATTAGTTTTTCACACAAATACAGCTGCACAGATTGGCGCATTCAACACCTTTTGGCCAGGCAATTTGGTCAGATTTTCGACTGCGCTTGATTTTTGGCCACAAATTAATATTAACATAAACAATTTGCATGCAAAATTTTTGCTGGCCATATAAAATTTTATATAATTTTTTACAACACAATGCCAAACGCGCGCACACACACACTCACACACACACATTACATATACATAGGTATATATATATATGTATATATACACTTGTGCGAACGCAGCGCATGCGCAGCGTTTAATATTTTTTTTCGTTCGTGGAATATAACCACACCCACTTACTGTTGCCAACCTGTCTTGGCTGCCGTTCACCTGGCTGACCGTTTGCAGACTGAAATTGCAGATTGTTGGCCAACTTTGCGTTGGCATAAAATCGTCTTTTGGTAACGTATCTCGAAGCTTTAGCTCGCTAATTTGGTTTCCAGTCGCATGTCTTGGAAACTGGTTTCTTGCCGCTTCGCCGCAACGGCTTTGCGCGTGCGCTCTGGCAAAAAGAGCGCAAGAGAGCGCTACAGCTACAGAGAGAGAGAGAGAGAGAGAGAGAAAGAGAGGGAGTGAGAGAGCGTGATTGGCAGTTTACTTTGCGAGCTTGAGCTTGAGCTTTTCTTTGTGTAGCACTTTTTGTTACAGTTTTTCCGCCGTCAACATTCTGCAATAGTTTGACTTTGTTTTTGGTTTTTGTGTATTTTGTGTGTTTTGTTATTGTTGCATTTTGCGTTTGCTCCGACTTTGCCGCATTTGCTGTGTAGTTGCTGGCTTCAATCTTATAAAGCAGCTTAACAGGTTTGCTGATTAAGATTTTAGACTCTTATTTTTAATTTATTTAATGAATTTCTTGCAAAATTTATTAACAAAATTTAAAAAAAAAGATGGTGTATGCTGTGCTTAAAGTATACTGTTTCATAAAAATAAAAATTGCTCAAGTATTACTTAATATTAAATTCGGGTTTCTTTGCTTATCATTTATATTTCTATCTGTGTTTATTATTACTAGGAAATCCCTTAGAAAATGGGAAGAGCTTTAGGATTTATATATATATATAAATTTTATTTATTTTTTTTAATTATTTTTTGAATTTGTTTCATAAGCGAACTTATTTTTTTCAAAATACCCCATTTCCGCATTTGTCTTTACGTTTTCTATGCATTTATATCATTGTGACTGATCTATTATCGATTCACAATTGATATTCATGTGCTCGTTAATTTGTTTTGAATATTTAGCGCTTGATTTGCTGACTGACCGCAATGACATAATAACAATAACACAACAAATTGCTGCAGCAACAACAAAAACATCGCATTTCATTTAATGAACCAACGTAGGCCAAAACCATCTGCTATTAGTCACAATCACACAAACACAGAGACACACACAAACACAGGCGGACACACATATACACGCAACAAAACAACCGTAACACAATAAGCAGTGGACGCTGTCCGAAGACATATAAATTGCTTAAACGGCTCATGAATTATTGCGCATACGCCGCGTGGTGCGGATCACAATTAAATATTAGTTAGGCATTTTATATACATACAAGCTGCACGCACACACACAGAGGCACATTAAATGACTAAATCTAAAATCAACTGAATGCAAAATAATGTGAAGCATTTCAAGCGGCTCGTAATGAAATCAATCAGCGGTCAAAGCAACTGCTCCCCATTATTGTTGTTGTTGTTGTTGCGCCTGCAGCGGATTATGGCACATACGACTTGAGGCTGTGTCTGCAGCTTGCTTGTGAGTGTGTGTGTGCGTGTGTTTTATTACGTCACAGAGCTAAAGTACTTGGAGTGTGTTGCACTGCATCTGCGCATGTGAAAGTTGAATTTGACGGTGACTGCCGCTGCCTGTATTCAAATTGGAGCAACAGCAGCAGCAGCAGGCACAGTCACAGTTAACACACACAATCACACAAAGCCACAAATCGTCGAGTGTTTATCGCTGACGGCGTGTGCCTCACATCTGAGCTACATTTATAGCACCCACTCATATTCATACAATTGTTTCCTATGCTCCATTATCCATCTATGTATTTGTGTGCTTGTGGGCCTGTTGCTGAGAACGGGAGCAATGTGTCGAGGCGCCTCTCAGTGTGTGCGTGTCCCCGTGTGTGTGTGTGTGTGAGTGTGTGGGTCGCCTAGCCGAACCGGTATGCCGCATACTATCCAAGTTGCAGCTTTTAGTACATGTTGTAACTGTTAAACAGCTCTCGACTGGTCGCCAGTTGCCAGCTGCCAATTGCCAGCTGTTTTATTTGGTCTGATAAAAAATTTGTAGCATTTTGGCGTGCAAGAAAAAAAAAATTGCAAATCACATTCGATGCGATAGCATTTTTAATAGGAAACTTAAGCTCACTTGCTTTATGGCTAATTTCAAGAAGCTGTTGTTAACTTTATTGTTTATTTTAATTGTTTTTTCAAATTATGTTATTTTCATTGGATTAGATATTTATCTTAACAGCTGAAACTTGCCAATTAAATTTGTTTAATAATCACACAGTTAGCTCAACACATTTGCGACCTGTTTTGCAGGGTAGCTGCCAGTCGAGCATGTTCACGGTAGTTTTTTAATAACTTATTTTAGTTGTCACCAACTCTCAAAAATTTAGTTTATTTATTTTATTTTTTTTCGATTTTTTTGTTGTATTTTTTTGGCCACGTTTTTGCAAGTCAAATTTTGTTTGGCAATTGTCGGCAGCTTTTTAATCAGCTAAGTTTTTGGCTTAGCTGTTAAGCAATCAAAACTAATTTATTAATACTACAGATAATGATAATGAGTTAAAAATATATGTTAAGAAATTAAGGCCTCTTGCAATATGTAAACGAAATTGACAGAGAGATAATTCATTCGACTTTCAAGTATATCTGAGAACAATAAAAGAAGTACCGTTATATTTGTGCTAAGACCCAATTTTCGTGGAATTACAAAAACCCCACCCTAAAAATAAACGTTTTACCTCATTTGTTAAGAGCTGAAAGAACAAAATGCATTCAAAGTTGAGTTTTTATTGTTATTTTTAAAAGCGAAAAGTCGTTCAACCCGTTTGTTTGTTGTTGCTACGTAATTACATGAAAAAGAATGTATTTGTTGTTTTTATTTTACTTGATTTTTGTGATTGTTTTTTTTTTGAATAATGCTAACTGGTTGGGCTTTACATTCTCTTGCAGGCCTTGGCGGTTGCGGCGAAAACAAAACAAAGCGCGCGAAGCGAATTGCAATTCCGCAATCGATTCGAATGCGAATCCGAATTCGAATACGAATCCGAGTTCGATTTACGAGCTGTGAGCTGACCTTGCTTGGCTAAGGCGTGTATCAGGTGGTTAATCTAGTTCTCAGATGATAAAGAAGTTCAATACGAAACGAAACACTTTACTCAGCGTGCTATTCGAGGCCGGACGCTCATTCGGTGCCACATGCCCATCCAGCTGATCCTCCAGTTCGATGCCATAGCGCACTATATACCATTCGGCTACCAAGTATATGATCACCGTGATGAATGCAAATTTCAGATAGATCTTAAATATCCAAACAATATTGACGCATAGCTGATGCAGCAGCTCCATTGCATCCATGCCGCCGGCTAACGTTGCGTATGCGCAATGCAAATATGTGTGAGGCGAAAAGCAGAAGAAGAAAAAAATGATCTCAGCACCCCGCAACCCCCCCGTGCCGGTCGAGTGACTGCGCGTAGGGTCGACAAGCTGGGCAAAGATTGCGATTTGCTGAAATGAGGTCGCTTGAGGCGTCGCTTTGGAGTCGCTTTGTTGCTTATGCAATTGTTGTGGTTATTGTTGTTGTAGCTGTCGCGTTGCTATTGTTGTTGCCGTTGTTGTTGCTTTGTATTGATTGTGTGGAGCAGCGCATTAGTGTGGCGTTAAAGATGCACATTTCGCTTTTGTGCCTCAGCGATGCCTCCGTCCCAGTTGGTGTTGCTGTTGTTGTTGTCGCCTCATTTAAATTTTATAGTGTTGATGATCCCTCGCTTTGATTTTTCGTGTTTAGCTATTTCGGCCTTTTACACTCGTAATAATTGTTGTTGTTGTTCGGCAGCCGCTTTCAGTTTTTAAAGAGTCTTGTTTCTTTTTTCTTTTCTTCTTGGTATCTCTCACATTGTCATTTGATCATTATGCGCGCACCTTAATTATGTTAATTTGTGAGGCAGCTTTGAACAATTTTGTCTTATATTTTGTTCAGTTTTCGGTTAGGCTAAGCTCCATTGTGGCTGCTGTTGCATTTAAGTTGCTTTTATTTGCGCGCCCTGTAAAAATATATAAGTAACAAACAAAAAAATGACAACAAAGAAATGTTCAGCGCATTTTAATTTGATTGTAAATTAATTTGTTTCGAGGCGGGCAACTAATATTGATGAAGATAAATGATTCAGGCCGTAAATAACGGCAACATTAATAAACAAATTGGATTGCGAAAATAAGGCTGTGTTATTTGTTTATTAGCAAAACTGGAGCAGAGGGCGTGTCGGGGCAGGTTTTTCGACAGCAACAAATTATGATATGAGACTGAAATGTCGTAAAAGTTTTGATTAATATGTGTGATAAATGGAGCTGTAAAAGATAAATTGGTTATTTGTAAGCAGCCGAGTCAGCTTTTAATATAAACATAATTGAGCTTTAAAAAACCGGACTTTGCTATGATCTATTTATTTATTGGATAGTTACTTTAAAAAATGTCAAGCTTACAAGAAATACCAATTGATCATGAAGGCCTAGGAGTTTTTGATTGAGCATAAGTAATCTCTTTGGCTATCTATTTATAGCTGACAATTTCAGCTTAGGGCATACTTAAACTCTTTGATTGACCTTGACAGCAACCTTCCTAGATCAATTGGCATTCAGTGTCTCCCCCCTTTTGGCCACACCACTGGCTCTTGGCCAAGTTTGACAAATTAAAGCGCGTTGAGAGCCACAAAGTACGAGTCAAAAACTCGATTGCATCTTCAATACACTTGACAATCGCTTACACAACATCAGCTTAACCTACGATTTGTATCTTTTGCCCGACAGCGCCTCCAACTTGAGTTGCAGCTGAGCTGGGTTGATAAATGCAGCAATTATTTAAAGCACACAAATCAACATCAACTTGGATGCGTCTACGGCTGACCGCTGTGGCAGTTGCGAAAATGCGGCGCATAAAAAAGCCAAACAAAGTATATTACATTAATTTAAAAATGCATGCGCAAAAAACCCGCAGTTGATGCAATGCACAAAATAAAAACAATTTTGAAAAAACAGAAACCAGTCTCACAAATGGACAAAGGTGGATTGCCTTCATTGCCTTGGGACTTGGCACTTGGCGGACTCTTGTGCATCGACTGGCAAGTCGAATTCTTCCTGACTGACTGTGTACAAAAAATAAACAAAATATGCAAATGCTGAAGTTGAACTGTCTCATAAACTAAGCCACAGTCGCGGGCAAAGACGCATCCCAGCCAGCCCCCAGTCCAAGCTGTCAACATGTCAACCGGCAGACCCGAGCCAAACTAGACACTAGATTCAAGATGCGAAACTGAAAAACTTGAGACTTCAGACTTTCAAGATTCGCAGAAACGCAGGCGCTGAACTGGGGTTTTTTTTTTTTTGTATTTTGCATTTTGTTCGCTAAGGCAGTTGCTTCAGTCTCTGATAAGTTCGAGTACGCGTCTATATATCTGCGCTTACCGGTTTCTGCGCCAGCTTGTAGACCCTCTGACATTCTCACCTTATTCGAAAAAATACTCAGTTTTGGTTTACATTTCAATACCCTGTAGTCATAGTAATTTTTAAAGGGGCATATTGATGTGGACAACAGGTAGATGTGGATAATTATTATCAAATATAGATATATCTTCGTTAGCTTAGCTATTTATTTCACATACTTTCCACACTCTAATGCACATTCTGTATAGCCAATTTCAATTCATATTTATTGTTTACTATGAATCCAACCTTTATGTGAATCTAACCTTAAATCAAACCCTTTGTCAAAAGACAGAATTTTTTCAAGAATTAAAAGCTTTTAAGTAAGATTAAGGCCTAAAGCAAAAATAACTTAATACCCAATCATTGCATTTGTACCATATTTGGTAAATGCCTTATTCGGGTGTAGAACAAATATAGCCCGTATTTTGCATATGAAAATATGTACGGTTTTCCATATTTTCAGTACAAAGGGCAAAATACACAAAATACAAAATTGAATTGTTTTAAAAAAATATTGTTCATATATGACTTTCAAAGGTTTCCTCCAAAACCTGATCTTAAGAATGTGGAGAATCAATTTTACAAACCGAACCAAATGGCAGTAAGTTAGTGCGAATTGTGAACCGAACCAGCGACTTATTTTCTCAATATAATTCTGAGGCACATTCTAAAAATATCCTATGAATAAAAAAAAAACTATTTGGGAAACAATATTCCGTGAAACAAGTAGAATGTCGTGATATTCTTATATCTTTTCTAGCTGTAGGGTATCTTTCAGTTCGGCACTTCTGCCTATAACATTCTTACTCGTTTGATACTCGAAATGTTGCTTGCGTCTCATATATAGTAATATAATTATTTCCTTTTTTTCTTCGCTACATGACATTTGCGTCACATAGTAAATTATTTGCCTGCATATTAATTAGTAAGCAGTTCCACAAGCCTTAACAACAATAAACGGTTTTTGTTTTATAAATAATACGCACTTATATAATGTACATGGCATTAATTTGTTGCTGTATTTGCTTTGGCTACTTGACAGTAACCCATTAAAATGTGGGTGACCAGCGAGCGAGCAGGGGCCAAGAAAACGAGTCGAAAACGTGTAAAAATAAAAAATAAAAATAAATCCGAAACGCACGCGGACAGTGCCAACATTTAAGTAGACACGACTATATATATATCTAGGGTCAGCTTGGATTATGGAGTGTGGAGTGTGGGGCGAACCGGGGGCAGGCTGACACGCATTTCTACTCGCTAATTGCGCAAATTGTGTCACCCGGCCGCCTAATGACCAAAAGTTGACAATTGACTTATAATTAGGTAGGCCTGAAGTTTGAGTACATAATGGCTTTAATCTAAGTGTTTCCGCATGCTGCTAGCTGATGTTTGTTGTTTGTGGGTGCTAGGGAGGTTGTATAAATTGTTAGTTGAAAACTGATCAAATTACTTAGATCTTAGCTAACAAACATGTTTTTAGAAATAACTTAATTTGCATGTTATGTTTTCCCAATGGAATCTTGTATTCTTGATTCCTTCCAATTTTTCCTGTTGTTGTTTTAGTTAGCAAAATAAAGCCAAGTCTAGCTACTTTATACATAGCATATCATACAGAAAATGAACAAACTCCAAAATCACACTCTAAACACATTCACCATCTGCTTCTTCTTGCTGTTTCATACAAAACCTTTTACCTTTAAAATATTTTGCCCAAAGTAGAATAGTAAAATTTTTCCAAATTATAATAATTCAAGCATCTTCTTGCGCACGCTTAATCTACATTTAATATTTACCTTATTGTTATCTATTCGTGCACATTTTGCTGAGGCGTAAACAAAAATAGAAAAGACCAAATACAAGCAGCTAACTTTGACAACTGGAAACTGGAAGCGTCCACGATTCCAAAGCTTATAGCCATATGATCAGCAGCTGATCAACAAGCAGAGCTTTGAAAGTAAACAGCGACAGCAACGTGTGTCAGAAAGAGATGTCACTAGTGTGCGCAAGAGCAGCTGTGCAAGAGCAGCTGAAAGCTAGAGTTACATAGCAGTGAGCCTTAAGGCAGCTATTATATCAAACACTTAAATCGAACGCCCAAAACTATGCAGCTGAAGGGAACAAATATTTTATATACATTTTATTTTACAGGGTATATACGAAATGATATACCTCTTTCTTCTCGTACGGATCCCGACTATCGATTGACACCAAAAAATCTGAATTCTAAGAAATGGCCCAATTTGAGAAAAACTTCTATGTTTTTGCAAAAATTACGATGTTGGCTGAAAATGGCTGTGACCACGAGTCGAACGAGACCAATCTTTCCAAGATCGGGGCTTATTTGGCCGAAATACAGCGAAAAAATGCCGTTATAATTTTGAAGATTTTTCGTTTTTTTCCTATATTCGGCTAAAAGTGGTCCGACTTTGGAAAGTTATACCTTTTTGAACTCGACTTGCATACCACGTTTTTTGATTTTGTTTGGAATCTCAAAATTTGTGAAAAAAAAACAGGCAGACGAACAAAAACATCAAAAATTTCATTGCATACCCAAACTGAGCGGTGGAGCAGCTGCTTTAGGGAACGCTCCGCAGGGAGTCCGGGAGTCTTCCTGACGCACCACAACAGCTACAAATACTAAGGGGTGCACTTAGGCAGGTCTTTAGTAAACACATCTCAAGTATCACAGGAGCCTTGAAAAGCAGATTAGGTAAATTCAGATGGCAGTATATTTTATATACATTTTATTTTACAATTTTGTTGCAGGTACATAAGATTTATAAAGGTGAAATGTGCAAGAAATAATATATTTACAAAAGTGAATTTGGGAAACTTGCCAACTGGGGAGCGGTAAGCAAAGTCAATTTGTAGCACATTCACTTGACAACAACAACAATTACAAAGCTTTAGTGAGATGTTCTTTATTTTTGATTCACTCAATGGCCTCAATTATTTCATATTCTTCATCCAAAGAATGATCATAATCGATGTTGTATTTATTTTTGATTTTACTTTTATAATCCTTGAGCTCATCGTCGTTTTCAAATTTATTCAAATTGTAGCGCATTGCGCCGCGTTGTTTGCTGTTGTAGTTGTTGTTGCTGCTGCCGTTGCTGCGGCTGTTGCTGCTGCTGCTGCTGCCGCCGCTGTGTTGGGTGCTTGTGGTGCGATTGCTATGTCTAGAGGACGCGTTGCCTATCCTAAATTGTTTACTTTTATTTCTACTGCTCTGCTTACGGCTACTGCCACTATTGTGTCTACTTTGATATTCGCTACTTTTACTAGAATTATATTGTTGCTGTTGCTGCTGCTGCTGTTGCTGCTGTGATGATGAGTATGACGATTGAGATTGATTGGTTGTGTATCTCATGCTGCCTCTAAAACTATTTTTGGTCATTTTATTGTAGTTGGTTGGTGCGGTGCTATCTACGATTCTGTTGTTGTTGATGTTGTTGTTGATGTGCTTGCTTTTATCTATGTTGCTGCTGCTGCTGCTGCTGCTGTTGATGTTGATGTTGCTTTTGTTTTGTGCCAGAAACTGTCGCTGTCTGCCGCCTCGTTGCCGATTCACTGCCTCCGCCGCCGTTGTGTGTGCTGTCCCAATCTTATACTCATCATCAGCCTTATATCATACCTCATCCTGCTGCTGCAGCTGCTGGCTGCGCTCTGGTATGCGATAAAGCTCATCGTTGTTCTGATACAACTGCTCGGAGCCGGCGCAGTTCACGTTCGACCACCAATCGCAGACGCGTACAGCCTGATTGAAGACGGTGCCATTGGGACAGAGGAAGGAGTATTGGTGTCCAGAGTGCAAACACCAGTGCCAGACCTTGGGAACGTATAATGTGTTTGGTATATTATCCAAAACTGGTTTCTTAACGAAAAACTTGAATGCAATCCATAGAGTTAAGAATGATATCCAGATATTTGTCTATGGAATCCACCTCATTCGTCCCTTGGATATGCTCTGCCTATTGTTATGGATAGCTTTCCCCTTTTGACTCACCTGACACCTTGTCTCGGTATCCGCATAGTAGCCCGGCTGACGTCCTTGGCAGTTGAAGGACAAGCCCTTGGGCACCGCATCGTAGACTGGATAATCCTCGCCAGCTATGTAGCCATCAATTTGCTGCAATTGAAGCGAAAATGAGATGCGGCTTTCAAGTACAAACATTGCATGGGAATGTGAATTATCTCATCGAGTGCAACCGAGCTGCATGTGACCTTCGTTTGGGTGTTTCATTTGGAGCCCGCTGATTGCTCAAGCAGGGCACATTTAAATCATGGCAAAACAACAGCAAAATGATGTCTAAACAATAACAAATTACGAGCCTGAAACAATTGCCACACAAAATTTTGGTACACGCGAAAAAAAAATCAAGAGAAACAGAAACACAACCGAAATTTGAAATGCAAATGCATCAACCGAAAAATCTGTCGAAAAGCCAGCAAAAAATATTTAGAAAAAAAAACAACTTGGCTAGAGATCAACAAAAGAATCAGTGAGTGTTGAAAATGTGCAATTGTGGGTGGCTGCCTCTGTGTGTGTGCGTGTGTGTGTGTGTGACAATAAAACCACTTTAAAAACAACAGAGAACTGTCAATCTCATGCGTATGAAACCATGAAAAGCCGACACAGCCACAAAGCGTGGCCAAGTGGCAGCCACATCGCACACAAACACACTCACACACACACATGATGACATTCTCATGACTCGACATTCGACAGCAGCGTTAGGAACTCTGTTCTTTTGTTTAACCAGCTCAACATTCCATATCTCGCGGCTGATTCCACTGCAAAATTATGCCATTCCATTTTCATATCCATTCCTGTGGCTGTCGCGTCTGTGCAACATGTTGCATGTCACAGGTCCGTCTTTCACTTATCTTGATCTTGCGTCAATTCCAATCTAAATACAATTTTTCCACACCAGCTTTTCATTGTTGTTGTTGTTGTTTGTTACGCTTAAATAAATTTATTTGCAGGGCGTGTGACGAAAATCGTTTGGTATGGATTCCAACTCTATAGATGGACTCTTTTTGACGGCTGTGGGCTGTTAATGATGCCAAAAGGCAAATCTTTAATTTTTTCATTTGAGGTTATGCTGACAAGCAGTGTTGTAAAGCGAACAAAAGTGAGGGATAAAAACGATAAGCGATAATTCGATTTTAAGAGAAGCAAACAGTTCATGCGGGTCAATTAAATATTGTCTCATTACCGATCGACAACTCTCCGATTACACTTACTTTTCGATAACTATTCATTTGGTATTTGCTAACTATTCGATAACTATTTTCTGCTCTTACCAAACAATTTAACAGAGCTTTTTTTATTACCTCTGCGATTTCCTGCAGCACGCTAATAACTTGCATGAGGTCTTAACATTTTCAACTGCAACAACAACAACAAGCGACCAGTGCCTCAGTAACCCAACTGCAATGGGCAACCGCCCCCTAGGGGGGTGTAGTTTGCCTGTTTAAATACCAGACGACGACGAAGACTCCACAGCAACAATAACAACAACAGCAAAGCGGGCAATTTTCCTTTCTTTTGTGTTGTTGTTGCTGTTGTGCTTTTGTTATTGCCCTCGTTGTTGTCGTTGTTGCTGTCTAGAGCAGGGCACCAAGGCTAATTGATAAAAGACAACAACAAAAAAAGAGGCAACAAGGCAAACGCAGCAGCCGCAGCAGCGGCAGCAGCAGAAGAAGACGGTAAAAAGCAAACGATGACGACACCTTGAGCAATGGGAAATGTGGCATGGGCAATGGGGAATTTGGGGGAGTTAAGAGCCGCGGGTTCGTGTATGTTGTTGCTGGTGTGGCGTTTGCGGACGTGAGAAGATGTCTAACACTTTGCAGACAGGTCGACGTCGACGTCGTTGTCGTTGCACTTGCAAAATCGCATGCAGCCACGTCTAGAAAAAAAAGTGACTTTTTGGTCCACTTTTTTTTTTGAGTTTGCGGCAACAATTGCATGGTTGTTGTTGTTGTTATTGTTGTTGCCACTCAGGCGACTGCGGCTGCAACTTTGCGTGGGAGTTTGTTGTTCTCGTTGTTGTTGTTGTTGTTAGCTGTGTGTAGATCGCTATCAGACAAGAGACAAATGGTGTGCGCAATCTTTTACTTTGAATGAGTATAGAAATTATCTAAGATGACACTTTTTTTTTTACCACAGCAACTGCAGCAGCTGCTGCTGCTGGCCCTGCTGCTGCTCATGATATGTCTGTTCTGCGCTGATATCGTGTTTATATAGAGCTAATGAAGTGATCAAACTTAACGTAACTTTTCAATTTTAATGCGCCTTCATTCCCAGGCTTATAAACTTTTATGAGCGGAAAATATTTCGGCGATAAATGCAAAGATAATTGACAAAGCGCAATAAATAGACAAATCGACAAAGGTAGACGGACGGGCCAGTCTAGCTAAGGTTTAGGTTGTTGCAGCTTCGGGTTCACCCAAACTTACCCCATTGACACAGTTTCCTGCCAGCAGCACAGCGAACACGACAACAAAAGCGATGGACATGCAGGAGGCAAAGAAGCTGCTCGAGGAGGCGGCGTAGTTGCTGCCGTTGCTGGCAGCCAGATGAAGATGCTGCCGACTGCTATCTAGTTGTTGTTGTTGTTGCTGTTGTTGATGTTGTTGTTGTGGTGATTTGTTCGCTGTTGTTGCGGCTGCCATGATGTCTGTGATTTTGGGTTTACGGCTACGCGGCGTATACGTAATTTAAATGTGATTTTGAGTTTGTTTCGCTGTTGTTGTTGCTATCTAAAATACAAAATCGAAAGAGAGAAAAAAAAGACGAGCTAAGCTAAGTGCTATTAGATGTTATATACATGCACAACAACCACTTTGTGTGTAATCGTGTGTGTGTGTGTGTGTCTGCGCGCATTTTTAGAAAGGAAGCTGCAATTGGAAAATTGCATTCGGCCCAAGCAGAAGCGATGTCTTCTGTAGTGTTATTTCTTTGGTTTGGCATGTAATTAGATTTCATTTTTATATTTTTATTATTTTCTGATGCATGGCATGGCACGGCTGTTTTGGAATTTTATGCTTGCCGCAAATGGTAATGGGCATTTGTGGTTGCGGTGTTTTTTTTTTGTTTTTTTTTGTGGTTGCCTTGCCAGGAGCTGCTGCTGTAGACAACAACATTCACTTCTTGCCACTTGGCGTTAGCCTTTTGAATACAGTTTGTATAGTTTTTTGATTACGTTTAATGGTTGATTAACTTGGCATGCGCAACGATTGTGGGTGATAATTACACAGAGTCAATTTTATTTAATTGAGAGATTGTATTCGTTGGGAAACAGACAAATTGAAAAGATGTTCATTTGAAGAAGCATTTAGCAGAGTCTAAGTATCTTGGAATAAGGTCAGCTATTGGCAAATGTATGAAAAGTTTTGTTTAAAAGTTAATTAAGTAGTTTGATTTGTTTTAACTATGAAGTTAATAGAAAGAAAACAATTCTACTTAGTCCTATTGGCAGTTCAGTTATGATGTCTTAATTAAAGGAAAATTGAAGGTCATTTCTATATATATAAGAATAAGCATCGTTTATTCCTGATAATCATTCAGCTATACTCGCAGCTCTTGGGTGCAACACTTTCCCTTTGAAACGTACAGTAAATACTTTACTTTAGTTGTATAAATTCATATATCAGTTATCTAAAATATTTCAGATTATGTTCTTGGAACCGAAAATACTCTGTTTTGTTTTTGTTCCTTTAGTATTCCTAGGTTTTTATACAACATTTGTCTTTAAGCTATTCAATGAATGTATTTCATCAATTCATATTAATAATCCATTGAAATAAGTTTTTTTAATTAAACTAAACCAAATTTAATCATTGGATATTTTTTTTCAATTAAACCCAATTCAATTTGATCAAACTAAACCAAATTGGATTATTTATCATTATTGTTTAATTAAAAAAATGTAATTATTATTTTTCAATAAAGGAGTATCTTTTTTAAGTTTTAGTGTTATTCATATTATTAATTTAACAATTCTCTGCCGTTCGTTTATATAGGTTTATATATTTTGTTTTCATTTGAATTTTACGTAATTAATCTCTCAACTTAAGAGCCACGCACTTAACCGCACACTTGAAAAACTCTTGATATGTTTGTTGATAGTTGTTGTTATTATTATTTTGATTTTTTTCTGCTGTTCGTACGTTTTTGGGTCGCGAGCTGCTAGCTGCACGTGTTGCCGCGTTTGGAGTTGATGCAAAAGTTAGAAAAAATTTCGCATCAATTTTAGTTTTATACTCAAGAGCAGGTCGAGCGCGGCGCCGTTAACATCGGCTGGGGGCCAATAGATGAGCGCAGCTCCACACAGAAAATGCACAGCGTCATCGTCATTGCTGGAGCCGCCGTCGCCGCCGCCGCAATTGCCAAAGAGCAAACTCATCGTCATCGTCGACATCGCCGTCGTCATCGTCATCGTCAGCTCTGCGAGCAGCAGCCGAAACTGAAACTAAATCATCGTGCAATTGGCGCTCATTCGGCTCTCGAGTTGGTTCGTCTCTTGGCTCGCATTCATCGCCAAATAGTTGGCGCTGTGGCAGATGCCGCAGCCTCGCCGCATTGCAGCATTGTTGGGGGCTTTGTTGTGCTTGCGGCTTTTGTTTGTTTATGTTTTTGGCATATTTTGTGTCGCAAAGAAAAAAATTAAATAAATAAATAAAATTAGTGCAAATTTTTCATATCGGCTTGTGAGCCATTGATGAAAGCCAAACAAAAGACTTAGGCAACGAACTTGTAAGACTGTAACAGTGTTTAATTGCGGCATTGCACTGAAATGATTGCAATTAGCAGCGATTAAATGTGATAAAAACGAAAGACTTAGGCAACGAACTGGCTAGTTGATAGCTATTAAAAAATTGCTATTATTAATTATTATCAATAGAGTTAGTTGAATGATTAGCAGCTGAAGCATATAAAAGGCTAACAACGCGACATTCAAAATTAATAAGGAAAAACAAAAGACTTAGGCCACGAACTTGCAAGTTGAAAGGCAAACTGATATAATAGTTGATTTGTTTTCTGTAAATGAGGATATAAGGATATATAAGAACTGGAGTTAATATAGGATTCTAGGTAGACGTTCGGAAATTAATAAGAAAACAAAAGACTTAGGCAACAAACTTGAAAAAGGAAATTGTGCTATGAATTTCTCATAAGATCAAACTGGGCAGTTGATTTGTTATCTGTAAGCGACTAAATATATAAAAAAGAACTGGAGATTGGATTCGTTCGAAAATAATAAATAAAACAAAAGACTAAGGCAACGAACTTGCGAATTGATAAGCAAACGTATATAATATGAATGGCGATATGATTTAAATTTCTCATAAGGTCAAACTTAATAGCTCATTTGTTATCTGTTAACGAGTAAATAGATAAATAAGAACCGGAATTAATATTGGATTATAGGCAAAAATTGGGAAATTATTAAGAAAACCAAGGACGGAGGCAACGAACTTGGTAAAGAAAACTTTTGCAGACACTCTCATATGTTAAATGTACTCAAATTTAAGAAAGACAATATTAATACCACCAAAGAGTATATAATTTTTAATGGGTTCTCGGATTTAATTCCATGTAAGAGCTTGAGCAACTAAACTATCTACCGGATGCCGTTTAATGCTGCTAAGCGCTTTAATTACGCAAATCCCTGATGTTAAAAACCCACGCCGCAGCGCAATTTCCATTTTAAATTACCATAAATTAAACTAATTAAAATCAAATCACGGCAATAAATTTACAGCAGACATTCGCTCTAGAATTGATGCAGCCAGCCGCCAGCAGGCAGCAGCCAGCGACAGCCGCTCACTTTCAAAAGATGTGCAGTGGCAATCCGGTTGAGGCAATTGAGCCAAGGAATATATCGACGGCCACTGCCGGCTGCAGATGGCTTTCAGTGCGCTTCAATTGAAGCTCATGCAGAGACGAATCTTGTGACTGAGATGCAGACTGAGAGTGCGACCGGAGTCTGAGACTGAGACTGCGACTGAGACTCATTCTGGTTCACCTTCGAGAAAAGCATTGCGGCAGCTACAACTAATAACAGCAACAAGAAACGTTTGGCAATGCGGCTGCTGCTGCTGTTGGCTTAGTTTTCCAGTTATTTATATATATTTTTTATATGTCTGTGAGAAATTCCCTTAATCAGCGCAGTCATTGCAACTGCCACAGCGGTTGCAAACAAGAAAAGTCTAAATTTGCTGCGACTGGCAGCTGAAAATGGCAGCGTACCTGCTGCATGGCTTAATTTCAAATACCTATTATCATTAGGCGTTGGTTGCTGGCATTTCTCAACTCAACTGAACTCAACTGAACTCAACTCAACCGATGTGAGCTGTAATTAATATAGCTCTATAGGCCTGATGACTTGTAGCCATATTTTATTGGAGTTTAACACTTGTTTCACACGCTGCCGCAGATTATATTTCTGTTTATTTTTTCGTCTCGAATACCCGTTGATAATTGACGGGGGGCTGCCCTTGAATGGGGCATGGACTATAGCCGACACAACATGTGCCATCATCTTGAACGTCCGGATAATTTGGCTGGCCGCATTAACCTTGACTTTTAACCAAGCGGAGGTGGCACCAACAGCGGCAGCTGCTTCTTGAAAATTGTTTCAAATACGTGACGAAAACAATGATAAAGTAATTATGTACACACATGCATACAAATATATATATATGTATATATGGGGCCGACTTGGCTTGACTTTCATTGTGGTTGACACTTGTTGTGCGATTTTCTGTGTGCGTCGTTTTTTATTCTGCTGTCAACTTTATGGAGCATTAGCGCATTTTAAATGGTTTTTTCTTTGCTATGCTGGGTTTTTGATTTGGCCATTTGTTAATGCGGCCAAGACGCTAAATAATTTATTAAATTAGTTATGAAATGGCTTTTTAATATAGGCAGGCGAATGAGCTCATCAGGCTTAGGTGTCATGTACTTCCCTTTTAAGAATCAACTAAAGACATTTAAGTATATTCATAGGCAAGTGTACTTAAAGCTAATGTTTTGTCAGGCTTAAAATGAGACTGAGAATTTTTAAGTAACAATATATTTTATACATACAATGCTTAATGGATTATATAAAAGAATAACTTCTGAATATATATACATTGTATATTATGTATATTATATAAGAGCCCCAGTAGAGAGAGAGACATATATTCATTCAATATATTCATGCAGAAAGAAAAGGTACAAAAGACCCTTCAGACAGTAGCTCTTTAGCTTAACTTTACGAATTCAAAGTACACTATGTATTTATTCAAGCTTCTAGCTGTTGATGCAACTTTCAGCTAGTTCCTATTCCTAATGCATGCCACATCATTAATTCGCTTGGAGCGCACATTATTCAAGCTAAAATCCTGCTTATAAAAAACGAGAAGAAATAAAAACTGCTTCCTAAACAGACCGCAACTTGATAAACGCACTTGAGCAGCCGTTTTAAGTTCTCATTGTTCTGGTTTTAGAGCTTACTTTTTTATTTTTCCGATTTTTTCCGTTTTTGGCCGCTTTTTGCTCCTTTCAATGGTTTTGGCGTTGCACAAACACAATGCAGCTGCAGTTAGCTGATTATTGTGCAAATAAAAGTTCTAATGATGATTTCGGCAACAACAATGCAATTATGCAAAGCAACAACAGCAGCAGCAGCAGCAACAAAAAAAAAAAAGAGGAAGGCAATTAAAGGCAGTAAATAGAAAACGAGAATGAAACGAGGAATTATAATTATCATGGCGCTGCGATCAACAATGAATATGCTAAACAGTCGGGCGGAGAACATCCTATGCAGCCACAAACGTGGCACATGCCACATCCGCCCCAAACAACAAACGAGTTGGGGGCATCATCAACATCAGCTTCAGCCCCAAAACTCTCAGGTAGCCGTTTGCGCAATGCGCCAAACCCAAGCCCAAGCCCAAGCTCAAAACCGAAACCAAAACCGAAATCAAACCAAATATCATACATCATCGCAAAGGTTGCCAAATTATATCGGATCGCAGCATTTCGGCCGCCTCTCTCCCCCTCTCTCTCTCTCTCTCACTCTCATTCAAATTGTGGCAAATTGTCGAAGTTTTGTAATCAAACTCGCTTATTGTTTTTTTTTTGTTTTTTTTCACCCATCTTCTTTGCGGCCCAGCTATTTCACACACGCTGACTTTTCGCTAAACTGAACTTCTGCTATTTCAGTTTCTTCTACTTGAAATTGAGCGCCAGCTCGAATTGAATTCAAAGCGTTTGCCAAATAATTTGTCACATTTGTTTGCGCCATTTGCCGAGGATTAGGCGAAAGTGTTGACACACCAAATCGGGCAGTTGGGATGCGGGGGAGTGTGTCACTGGAGCTCTTACAATTTTGTGCCTTGATTGATTTTCAGTTGCCGACAATTGTAGTCATTAGTCCAAGTGACAAATAAATTATGTCAAGCTCCTAAATTGGGTTGAGTGTGTCATGGTGGGGGTTTTTTCTGCAAGAGATTGGTCGGGCAAGGGCCAGTTAGAGCTTGATAGCTTTGCCAAGCTATCTATTAGGGAATCCCATTGCATAAAGGCAAATATTACAAAACTCAAATAATTCTCATATAAGAATGATATTTACATTGAATTCTATAGCCTGTAAATGTTTGGCAAATGGAGTATCATGACGAGCTATACTTGGTTCCCATTAACAGCTGAAACGATCTGGCCAAGTCTCCTCAAGCAATTCAATCTCAAATTCAGCCACATTCAATTTTGTTCACAAGATGTTCAATAGATCTAACTATGCCTAATTACTATTCTGTTTCAAGCTGTCATTAACTATTTTCAATAAAACATTATTTTTGTTAACGAATTTGTCAAATTTTTCAAAATTGTAAAAGCCAAACATGAATTATGAACTGCAACGCGAAAAAAATATCAAGAAAAATGCCATAAAAATTTATTGAACTACAGTTGATGAATGCTGCGCTGATGGACAGCTGCGACAACAATAGCAACAACAACAACAACAAACAGATTGAAGATGATTGAAGCGACTCGAACATCGAGCTAGAAGGCCAAAGAGTACCAAAAAACAATTGAAGGCAGAGCGGCTACCAATTCCATTGAAAAATATTCAGATACAACAAAAGAAGGCACAACAGAAATAGAAAAACAAGCAAAAATAAGTTGGACAAGTACAAATGATAATCATGACGCTTTAGAGCAGACGATGATAGACAAACGCTTTCGGCGAAATTTAACACAAAATGCCAGCCAAAAGCCAAGGAAGACAAAAATGATTACAGCTCAAATTGAGTTCGGCCGGAATATTGAAAATGCCAACCACAGCTGGGTAACAGCAGCGGGGGCAAGCAGAGAGGGGGGAGTGGGCAACTGAAACTATAACGAGGCGCGAACAGGGTCAATGCAGCAACGAGTTGGCCAAATACTATTGGCCAGCTCTTCAGTGCGGCACTCAATAAATTGTTGGCGACAAAAAACTACAAATAAGAACAGCTAACTTCGGCATGCCGAATATTATATACCCTTGCGTGAATAATATTCACTGAATATAGCAATTGTGGGCTATATTTTAATGCTACTCGAATTTGTTTCTATCAAGGTTTTG